GCCTAGAATCCCCCAGTGAGGGGCTGGGGGCGTGGCTCAGTGGTAGAGCCCCTGCCTAGAATCCCCCAGTGAGGGGCTGGGGGCGTGGCCCAGTGGTAGAGCTCCTGCCTAGAATCCCCCAGTGAGGGGCTGGGGGCGTGGCTCAGCAGCAGTGTACTTGTTTAGCATGTTCAGGCCCTAGGTTCCATCACCAGCACCATGAAGAAACAACATTAAATGTAATAATTTATTATATTGGGGCTGAAAAGATGGCTCTGCAGTACATGCAATTTCCAGCACTCACATACATGGCAGATCACAAGTCTGAAATTCTGGTTCCATGATACCCTGCACCTTCTTCTGACCTCCGCAGAGACCAGGCACACAAGTGTTGCACAGATAACCATGTAGGCAAAACACACATACACATGAAATAAAAATTAAGAAATAACAAAAGTAAAGTTCACAGGTTAGTTCTCACACATAATGTTTGTGAGACCTTGTCTGTCTGTCACTCTTTTGGTTAAGGAAGGACCTAGTCCTATAACTCACCACATACCCACCTTGTTGAAGTGGCTCTGGTACGCAGAGTCTCCCAGGCCAAACACCGCATATCGCAGTCCCTTCAGGTAAGTTTTGCCAAAGCGGAAGTCATTAGCTGCATCCTCTAACCACTTGCAGAACCACTCTGCACTCTCTGTAGGGCGGCCGTCTGTGTATGTAGCAACCAGGAAGGCGCAGATGTTTTTACCAGTGATCTGAATAAGGCAGTGTTGATGTCAGAAGGATATCAGAAGTAAGCCCGGTCACAGGGATATTCAAGGCAAGGGTGGAGAGATGGCTCAGTGATTCAGAACATCTGCTGCTCTTACCAAGAGCCCAGGTTCTATTCCCAGAACCCACACAGGGGATCAGAATCCCCAGTTCCAGGGGATTCAACAAAGCCCTCTTCTGGCCTCCATGGGCACCAGGCGTGCGCATGGAGCACTTATACACAAGCAGGCAAATGCTGATAGTCAAGAAAATAAAGACATATTGTGTAAGTGAAGTCCATCTTTTGAATGCAGGCGTTGGAGCAGAGCCCAGTGGTATACCAGGAATCCCAGAACCTCAGGAGGTAGAGGCAACAGCTGTGAGCCTGAGGTCAAGCCAGGGCCACAGGGCAGGATCCTGACTCAAACAACAGACAAATAAAAGTTCCTGAGTCATAGTAGAAAGGCTTCCAGCTGAAATGGTTCAGCATCCATTTTTTTTTTAATTATTCTGGAGATTCTGTCCTCCCCACAGGACAGGTAGTCAACTAAATTTGAATTTTAAATCTTTATTTGAATTGTAAGTATGTGTGTTTGTGTGTGTGTATGTGTGTGCATGTGAGTGTGTGAGCATGCACATGAGTGCAAGTGCCCAAGGAGACCAGAAGAGGGCACCGCAATCCCCAGAGCTGGAATTATGAGCAGCTGTGAGCCATCCATGTGGGTGCTGGGAACTGAACCTGCCTCCTCTGCCACAGGAGCTTTTAACTAATGTGTCATCTCTACAGCCCCAATTTTGGGAGTTTTAATTGAATAATAATAATAAATAATAATAATAATAATAAAAACCATTTACCAACCTCTCCTATCAGATTGTCATCTGGATCATATTCCTTCAAATTAATAATGGCCACAGGCAGGTTCAGAGAGGTGACAGCTTTGGCAAGAAGCGCTGCAAATCCCTAGAAAGAGAGAAAAGGTAATACACTCTCAAGTGTGCCAAATAAGGAAAGCACGGCTGTTGTCTGCTCCCGCTGGCAGGGAGCAGGGCGCCCCTTGTGGTGGGTGCTTCCTCAGCGGCTTCATCTTGGGTATCATCATTGTCAACAGGGGACCCCTCTCCTCTGCTGAGGCGGAGTCATGGTCCCACTCTATGATCCTGTGCCCAGGACTAAACCCACACTGGTTTTGGAGCTCTGCCCCAGTAGGAATAGAAAAATTGTGCTGAGAATGGAAACAGAGAAGCTGGGGATTGGAGAGATGGCTCAGAGGTTAGGAGCACTGGCTGCTCTTCCAGAGGTCCTGAGTTCAATTCCCAGCAACCACATGGTGGCTCACAGCCATCTGTAATGAGATCCGATGCCCTCTTCTGGTGTGTCTGAAGACAACAGACTCACATATATGAAATAAATAAATAAATAAATAAATAAATAAATAAATATGATTTATTTTAAAAAAAAAAAGGAACTAGAGAAGCTGGGGGCTGGAGAGACAGCTCAGTGCACAGAGGAAGGCAACTTGGCCCCATGCTCGATGACCTAGGTTGGATTCCTGGGGCTTACATGGTAGAAAGATAAAACCAACTCCCACAAGTAGTTCTCTGACCGCCATACACATGTATGTGTACACGCACACACACACAATGAATAAATATAATAAAAGATTTATTTATTTTTTATTATTTTATCTTTTTATGCTAGACTGGGGAAATACTTCAATGGGTAAAGTGCTTTTAACACAGACATGAGGATCTGACGTCAGAACCCTCAGATCTACATAAAGCCAGACACAGCAGCACACACTGGAATTCCAGTGCTCCTACAAGACGGGGCATGGAGACAGGAGAATCCCCAGAAGCTGGTAGGCTAACTAGCCTGGGGTCCACAGCCTTAAACAACAGAGTCCCAGTCTCAAACAGAGTGGAAAATGAGGACAAACACCCAAGTATGTCTTCTGACCTTGACTTGTGCACTCTGGAATGCAGACTCACACTTAACACGCACAAAAACAATATAAAAAATGTTTAAATTTTAAAAAGAAAAAGAAGCTGAAACCAGGCAAGATGGTTATGTACTTTTTTTTTTTTTTTTTTTTTTGGTTTTTCGAGACAGGGTTTCTCTGTATAGCCCTGGCTGTCCTGGAACTCACTCTGTAGACCAGGCTGGCCTCGAACTCAGAAATCCACCTGCCTCTGCCTCCCAAGTGCTGGGATTAAAGGCGTGCACCACCACCGCCCGGCTTGGTTATGTACTTTTAATCCCAGAATCCAGGAGTCAGAGACAGGTGGCTCCCTGGGTCTCACAGACCAGCCAGCCTAGCCTGTTTGGAGAATCCCACACCAGCAAAAGACCCTGTATCAGAAACACAAGATAGATAGTATCTGAAGAACAATATCCCAACCTTGGATGTAGTAGGGGGGTTCTGCAAACATCAGGGCTGGCAGAGTGTCAATCTAAGCAAGACACGAAGGCAATTCAATTGAACATGATTCAGTAGCCAGTCCCAGCTCAAAGTACTTGAGCCTGATCCTGGGCAGTTTATTCCAGGCATATTTCAGCACAGCACAATTTTGGAAAAAGCTTTCCTGATGATATTTAACTCAGTCCTGTGTGTACAACAAAGCTTACAACAGGATTACATTGAACCTCTTTTCAAAGCACACGTGACCTCTTCCCTAAAGATGGGTTCTATTGACTGAGAAAAAATGCTCAAGGTAAGAGGCTAGGGAGGAAAAGTCTGAGATAAATGGAATGGGGGGGTGGGGGGTGCTGGGAGCAGGGGTGTCAGGTGTGGCCTGGCCCTACAGATAGACAGCACAGAGCACATGAGGCTATTAACTACATGGAAAGCAGGTTAAACATCTCTTCCTTTGAAGAGACAATGGTGTGCTCCTGCTTTCCCAAGTGCTGAGCTATGAGCACAGGGACCCTGTGCCATCTACAACGGTACACGGCTGCCACATGCCCATGTGCTAGAATACACACATGTGCTAGGGTATGCACATGCACACAAACACAGCTGGGTGGCAGGAAATGAGAAGCTGGTTGACAGACAGGAAGAGGCCCTGGAGTTGAGGTCTTGTCTGACGGCCCAGGGAAGCTCTGGTATAAAAACTACAGCAAAGAGAGAAGGCAGGAGACAGAAAACCAAGTAATTATACCGCATGGAGATACACAGATGTCAGAGACCAGGAGGCAGTTACCCTCTCCCATGTAACGTTCCTGTCAGCTCTCCCAAAGCACATGACCAAATGCTTATCAAATTTCCAGGCAGGTTGACACTCAAGAAAAACACCCCTGTCTTTGCTACTTGGCGGTCCCAGGACTTGGCCTCTACAACTCCTAACTGTTAGCTATGACCACTTCACTGACTGGGCACTCACCATGCCAGCCTCACTTTTGGGCAACATTACACAGAAGGAAACAAAACGGACAAAGCTCTGGTCCTGAAGATGCTCCTCCAAAAGTCAATGAGCATCATGGAAGAAAAGAGAGAGGAGAGGTACAGGCCGGGGCAAGGACAGCAGGCGAGGTTATTATCCAGAGAACGTCAGCACAGGGTGTGTGTAAAAATGTAAGTAGTTGACCCTTGTTACTCAGCCCAAAGTTCCTAAACCCCTTGAATTCACTATCTGGCCAGTGACATGACTCACCAGAGAGCCCTTAGATGACTTCAGGACAAAAGCTGGCAGCCAGGAAAAGCAACCATGTGACTAGAATTTAATCACCAATGGCCAACGATTAACAGGAGTTACTACATGATTAATATGTAAGATAAAGCCTCAGAGTCACTCAGCAAAGGTCATTCTCCACTATACAGAGTCAGCCTGGAATAAAGGAAAGCTGGTCTGAAACAAACTATTATAAGGCTCTGAATGAGGCCAGTGTCACGCACGGCTCAGTGGGTGAGTTAAGGCTCTTGCCACCAAGCATGACGACCTGAGTTTGATCCCTAAGACCCACATAGAAAAAAGAGAGCCAACTCCATCCAGCAGGCTGTCCTCTGAGCTCCATGTTGAGTGCAGTGGTGTGCGGTGCACATACACACATTTGGGATAACTTAAATAACTCACAAGAATGCAAGTGGCCAGAGCCGTACTCCTGCTGGCATGAGCCGCATTACTCCTGTGACTCTCTCTGAGGAGTCCGTGCCCTCGCTGTTACTTTCTTGCCCTCTTCCTAAGCAACTGCTTTCCCTCAACCCTCGTGCTTAAAATCTACATAAAAGTGTTTGTGAATAAACTCCAATTCTGCCCCCATTGACAAAGTAATAATGACAGGCTGGAGAGATGGCTCAGCAGTTAAGAGCAGTCTGTTCTTCCAGAGGACCTAGGTTCAAATCCCAACATCCATGGAGGTTCATATCCTTGTCCAGCTCCAATCCCAGGGGATCTGACCCCTTCTTCTGGCCCCCAAGGGCACCAGGCATGCAACAGACATGCAGGCAAAACATCCACCACATAAATTTTTCTAACGTTAAAGTAACAATTACAAGACCAGCGACACGGCTCAGTGAGTAAAGCTCAACTGCCAAGCCTGATGCCCTGAGCTTAAGCCTCCCCTACCCGGCCCCCACACACACCCGTCTCCCCTTCCCTCAAGCCACATGGTAGAAGGAGAGAACAGACTCCTGCAATTTCTCCTACACACAGGCTCAAACACACACTAAGAAATAAAACTTTTTAAATCAAATAATGACGATAACAAGTATTATTCCAAACAGGCCACCTGAGACTGTCTTGGACAAAACAGCTATTCTGCACAACGTCCACAGGAGGGCAGGAGAACCCTCTCTAGCAGCACACAAAATAATTTTTCAAGGCAGCCTTACAAAAAGCACTCAACAGTCATGACCCTCATTCCAGGGAAGCAAGCTAGTAACACGTGCATCCAAGAAGAGCCGCCAGGGGAGTCTGGTCCACACACACCCAGTTCGAGTCTACTTTAACATCTACCTTCCCTGCCTCTAACACACTGACTGCACTGACTAGATGTGTGAACTTGCCAGAGACGGAACCCATCCCTGACACCATCACCATCATTCACTTCTCTCTAGTGCCTGGCACATCCAGCCAACAGCTGATAGCCACAGGCACCCCCAAGGCAGCTATAAAAGCAGAAGGAAAAAAAAAAAACAAGCTTGCTTCATTACCAGAGTGCTGGACAATTTCTTCTACCTCGATTGTGAGGTCCTCCATGTAAGATTACAGTGTCATGTCACAATGTTCGATGTGCCTGAAACCCACGTCCTATCACCACAGCAGAATCTGCATCCCCCAGAGGCAGACACGGGCTTCAGGGCCCTTCCAGACCAGAACCCACACACACTGGGCCCAACAGTAGGAAGCCATCCACCATTCCAGAAAGGAATGAAGAGAGAAGGGGGAAGGGACTAGAAGGCTGACAAAGCTAACTGCTAAAGAGGGTTTCCGGAATTTTCTTTAAACACTGGCAAAACAAAGAAGAGGCATGGTGCAGAGTGCTCACCTTGGCGGTGCCTGTCTGGGATCCATAGAAAATCTTCACTCCAGACACGTGTGTCTGCTTCTTCTGAAGGGACAGGGAGCTATCAGGAGCTCCTGGGACACTTTTCTCCTGGGAACGAGTGACCTTCAAGATGAATAACAGAAGAGAATCCATCAAGACTCAACCTCAGACAGAGGCAGGTGGATCTGTGAGTTTGAGACCAGCCTGGTCTACACAGATCCAGGACAGCCAGAGCTACAGAGAAACCTTGTCTCCAATCCCCTAAATGCCCTTGTGTGTGATTCTCTTCATCTTTCTGGGTGTATACCTCAGCTCATCCTCTTAGCCTGAGTCCTCAAAAGGCAAGACCCACTTTGTACAAGCTGTATGACACCCATTCCCTGCAGAGGAAAGCTGCAGCCTCCCCTTGGCATGTCTGGAGGACTGGTTCCAGGATAGACGGACATACACAGCTACAGGACCTTTTTCTTTAGGGAGATGTACACGACGTCTACCCCTCCCTAGAGCACTCTCACAGCAAAACATTCCACCATTCCATCCAAGCCCAACCTGGGCAACCTGAAAGCAGCTGCATCACCTTAAAAATCCTACCCCAGAATGGAGGATGGCTTCCCTAGAGTTACAGAGATGGAGTCCACTGCTCAGGTAACCTCCCACGTTCTACAGACTCTAGCACCTTTAAGACCAAAAGGCCACACGGGATTAGAACAGAATTACATACACCTGGCCAAGAGGAACAAGACTGGGGGAACAACCTGAGTCTCAACTGAGTCACTGGACACCCCTTCTCCTGTGAGGGGCAGTCAACAGTCACCAAGCCTGATCTCCTGTCAGAGCAGCTCTGACAGAGACAGCTGTTATGCTCAGAGGACGACACATGAGTGTGTATTCACACACACGTAGGCCACCACCACCACCACTACCACTGGAAACGACCCCAGTAAACTGACTGGTTCACAAAGTGGGACTTGAATGAAAACATGTCTTCAGTCTGGCATAGTCGTCTCCTGGGGTGAACAGCAACAGTATCTTAGAAAATGTCATACAACAGGTGAGAAGTGAAGTCAGTACATGTTTGGTAAAGACATCTGGTACTCTGTGTGTGTGTGTGTGTGTGTGTGTGTGTGTGTGTGTGTGTGTGTGTGCGCGCGCATGTGTGTGCTCTCGCATATGTGCATGTGAGTAAAGTGATCATCAAGGGTTTAAGAGGGTGTTGGATTCCCTGGAACTAGAGTTACAGGTAGTTGTAAGTCATTGACATGGGCTGTAGGAGCAGAGCCAGGGTCCTCTGCAGGAGCACACATGCCCTTAACTGCTGAGCCATCTCACCACGCCCACAGCCAGCTTTTTATGTGGATTCTGGGAACTGGACTCAGGCTGTCAGGTCTGCATAGCAAGTGCTGTAACCCACCAAACCATCTCCCGGTCCAGTTACCAAATACTTTCTATTCTTTTGACTTAATCCTAAAAACCACGAGGATATGGTGGGCAAACTGTGCATTCCTGTGTTCTGACCTTTCGAGTGTATAAAGGAAAGACTATCCTAATCCCTGAAGGGTGCAAAACAGCTTTATTTTTCTCATATGTTTATTTATCTGTTTATCTATCCATCTACCTCTTTATTTTTAATCTTTTTTTTTTTTTTTTTGGTTTTGGTTTTCTGTTTAATTGAGGCAGGGTCTCACTATATAGCCCTGTATGTCCTAAAACTCACTCTATAGACCAGGCTGACCTCAAACTCACAGAGATCCCTGCCTCTGCTTCCTGAGTCCTGGGATTAAAGGCATGCACTACCACACCTGGGTATTTTTCTCTTTGTAGGTTAAAATTCCATTATAAAACTCTTCTTGATTCTAACTTAGGCCATTATAACATAGTCTTTAAAATCTTAAGGGAAGCCGGGCGGTGGTGGCGCACGCCTTTAATCCCAGCACTTGGGAGGCAGAGGCAGGCAGATTTCTGAGTTCGAGGCCAGCCTGGTCTAGAGTGAGTTCCAGGGCAGCCAGAACTACACAGAGAAACCCTGTCTCGAAAAACCAAAAAAAAAAGAACTCAGGCTGGCGAGATGGTTCAGCAGTTAAGAGCACTGACTGCTCTTCCAGAGGTCCTGAGTTCAATTCCCAGCACCCACATGGTGGCTTACAACCATCTCTAATGGGGTCTGATGCCCTATTCTGGTGTGTCTAAAGACAGCAACAGTGTACTCATATACATAAAATAAATCTTTAAAAAACAAAATAAAAACTCTAAAGGTTCCTTTTTAGCTTTTCTGTGGTTTTATTAAAAGCTTTGAAAATTTTGTCTTTCTTTTGGAAAAAGAAAGATGGAGGCAGGTGCTGGAAAGACAGCTTAAAGTTAAAAGCACTTGTTCTCACTGAGGACCTGAGTTCAGTTCCCAGCTCCCCAGGGGGTTCACAAGCATCTGTAACTCCAATTCCAAAAGACCCAACACCCTCTTTGACCTCCAAGGGCACAGACTTACATGTGGGCAAAAGACTCACACATGTAAAATATTTCTTAGATAAAAACAAAGATGGAAAGGGAGGTGGATCACCCAGTACAGACCCATCAATTGCACACACACACTGAGGACCCAAGTTCAAACCCCACCACCCACATAAAAAGCTAGGTGTGGTGACACATACCTGTAAATCCCAGTGCTGGGGAGACAAAAAAAAAAAAAAAGGAGGTGTGCAGGTTCACTAGCCAGCCACCATGGCCCCATCAGCAAACTCCCGGTTAAACGGGACTCCATCACAAAATTAGATGAGGTGGCAAAGACACAACTCAGCAGTAGAGAGCACACACTCAACTGTTCCCAGTACCCAAACCAGTTACAACCACCTATAACTCCTACTCCAGAAGATCCAACATCCTCTTCTAGCCTCCACAGGCACTGTAGACATACCCACACATGGGCCCCTAATTAAAAATAAAATCTTTTACAGGGAGAGGTTGAGAGAGGAAAAAAAAACTACCCCACTTACCTGCTTCCTGACGATGATCTGGACACAGATCCAAAGGGTAACTCCCAGGGCACAGCCCATGTATATGTAGAACCTGTTCATCCATAGCGACAGCAGAGGCGAGGAGAAGTCCCACACATCCAGAGGAGGACCTGAGTTCAAAACCACACAGATGGAACACAGGCAGCCACACACAAAGATGCCCACTGATGTTTTAAGAATTGTAAGCAAATTGCCAGGCGGTGGTGGTGCACACCTTTAATTCCAGCACTTGGGAGGCAGAGGCAGGCGGATTTCTGAGTTCGAGAGGTCAAGGCTAGCCTGGTCTACAGAGTGAGTTCCAGGACAGCCAGGGCTACACAGAGAAACCCTGTCTCGAAAAAACCAAACCAAAAAAAAGAAGTATAAGCAAACTTCATAGTCGATAATCTAAGAAGAAACGTAGATGGCTGGATCCATGGTTTGGTTGCAACAAAGTGTCATTTTGGAGACCAGGCCACCCTCAAACTTAATGCTCCTGCCTCTGTGTACAAATAGCGCCATGACTGACTCTTCTTGTTGTTGCTGTCCTTGTTATTTGTTTTATGACAGAGAGCCTCTCTATATAGCTATGGCTGTCCTGGAACTCACTAGGAAGACCAGGCTGGCCACCTGCCTCTGCCTTCCAAGTGCTGGGAGTAAAGGCATGTACCACCGTTAAAACACGTCTATTTGTATTACTTGTAGGCATGTATGTGCACAGTGCCACCATTAAAAAGATTCGTTTGTATTACTCTCAGTTACATGGAGGCATGATGAACCTTGGAGGCCAAAGGTAAGCCCCAGTCCTCTGGAAAGGGAGCAAGTGATCTTAACCACTGAGCAATTTCTCCAGGCCACGCTTGACTTGTTTTCAATAGGAGCCTTAAACACAGAAGCTTAAAAGATTTTTTTTTCTAAAGGACTAGAAATCTGAAATGTACTGTTTACAGGTGCTGTTCAATAGACCCAGCAGTCCCAAACCATGTGCATAAGTAGTTACCCACCACCACCACTACCCGCCCCTGAGGTTTAGGCCAGTTTCCATCAAAACGTATCCCTTAGCCTAAGAAAGGGAAAAACCTAGTTAAGAGCAGCATGGTCCTGCCCCCCTGGAGCAACAGCCTCCTACTTATATGTGCGTTCAGTAGGCTGAGGTAGGAGGAACGCCGTTAATTTTTAAGGCTAACCTGCGCTACATCCGAGCTTCAGGCCAGCTTAGACTACATAGCAATTTCCTATTCCGCCAGAGTAGTGAGTTCCAAGGAAGCCTCAGCTACACACTGAACGCCGAACCAGTTGCTACACAAGTTGAGTTCCACACCTGGGCTACATGGTGAGTCCCAAATTTTCCTGAGCTACACAGTGAGTTCTGAGTTAACCTGGGATACAAAATACGGCCCTTTCAAAAGAAAAACAAAAAAGGAAAGAAAACGAAGGAAGAAGGAAAAATAAGATGCAGTAAAAACAAAAAGTAAAACATCAAGCTCAGCAATCTACGGCCCTATGTGCGGAGGGAAGTTGTTTCCTCCTGCCTGTCCGAGACCCTGGCCAGCCCGGCCTCACCCATCCTCCGCGGAGCCCGAGCCCCGCAAGTCGCCAGCAAACGCAGAAAGCGCGGGACTGCGATCAGCAGAGTAGGGTTTACAGAGCCAGGGAAGCAATGCTGCCGGCAGGCCCGCCCGCATTGGCCACAGGAGACAGAGGCGGACCCAGAAGAAGACGACAGAGCTAGCGGAAGCTCCAACCTCCTCTCTGATAGGCTCAAATAGAAAAGAGGCAGGACCAGAGAGAAGCCTGGGATCGTAACCCTGGGAAAGATGCTAGGGCACTTCCTGTACTTCTCGGATTGGCTCCGAGTGGAAAGGGGCGGGCCTGTGGGAAGCTCCGTCTAGAGAGCGAGATGCGAAAGCAAGCATACTTCCGGCTCCACTGGGATTGGCTCAGAAGGGGAAAGGGCGGGACAGAGGACAGTACTATCAAGAAATGAATGACAGCCAGCACGGTGCAGACCGTTAACCTTGCACTCCAGAGGCACAGGCAGACGGATCTCTGGGAGTTCCTAGTCCGAGGACAGCTTAGTCCGCGTAATGAGCTCCATGACATACGTATGCCAGGGCTATAAGAGACCTTGTCTCAATAAATAAATAAATGAAAGAAACGAATTCAGCTTGGTGATATAGGTCTGTAATTTCAGCGCTCTTGAGGCAAAAACAGAATGATCACGAGATTCAGGATAGCTACTATTTAGAGTCTTGCTGTGTAGCTCTGGATGGTCTGTAATTTGCCTATGTAAAACAAAATGGCTTCGAATTTACAAACGCAGTTAGCCTGCCCCTGACTCTCAGGTGCATAGGCCAAGAGAATATATATATATATATATATATATATATATATATATATATATATATACACACATACATATACATACACACACACACACACACAGAGAGAGAGAGAGAGAGTAGCTGTCTTCAGACACACCACAAGAGGGTGTCAGATTTCATCGCAGATGGTTGTGAGCCACCACGTGGTTGCTAGGAATTGAACTCAGGACCGCTGGTAGTACAGTCAGTGTTTTGTTTTGTTTTGTTTTGTTTTAAGGTTTTTCGAGACAGGGTTTCTCTGTGTGGTCCTGGCTGTCCTGGAACTCACTCTGTAGACCAGGCTGACCTCGAACTCAGAAATCCGCCTGCCTCTGCCTCCCAAGTGCTGGGATTAAAGGCGTGCGCCACCACTGCCCGGCACAGTCAGTGTTCTTAACCACTGAGCCATCTCCCCAGCTCCTCCAAGAGAATTTTTAAATGAAAGGGAAAGAAAGGGGGATCTAAAAAGCAAGCAAACAAACAAACAAAACAGACTAAGGACAGCTACGTGCAGTAGCGCATACTTCTAATACCAATATTCGAGACTGAGGCAAAATGAGAATTGGATTACCCATGAGTTAGAGATCAACCTAGGTTATAAAGTGAGACATTGTTTCAAAAAAACAAACCAAAACTACAATGACTACAGTATGCTGTCTAGATGTGTAGTGGGTGGCCTTATTTGTATTTTAACTAAAACAAATCGACTGTAACAGGAATTGTTTAGGTTAGGAAAGTAGAATGTTACGTGCACATTAGACCGGTGTCTGCTAACGGAATACACACTTAAGAATTTAAGAATAAAACCATATGATGATTTGTTTTGAAGACGATGATGAAAAAGGCTCTCAAGCAATCCAGACTGGCCTCAGACTTCTTGTATTAGTGAAGATGGCCTTGAACTCTAGATATCCTGTCTATACCTGCCAAATTCTGGTGTTACAGGCGATGGCCATCCGACAGGGTAATTTGCTGTAAAATAATACAATTAAGAGGGAGGAAAGAATAAGAATGGAAACAGGTTGGTAATTACTGAAGCAAAATGGAAGCTCCTTACACTTTTTTACCTCCTTTTTTGCCTCTTAAATTCTCCTTAAAAAGTTTAAAATGAGTGCAGTCTCTGAACTCTGCAGAACTATTCAACCAGAACACCATGTTTCCACCGGGACAACAAACATCACTCACCAGCCGATGGGCATAACTGGCGCTTGTAAATGACGTCACCACCGAACGGACCGCCTTCCTTTGAGGGCGGAGCTAGAGGACATAAAGTCATCGCGCAGGCGTAGTTGCTTTCTTCTGCCGGCTAGTGCGCCACTCGACGCATGCGCAGTAGCGCAGTCGAGTGCGTAGTGGCTACTGCCGGTGTAGGTCCCGGAAGAGACGCGCACTCCTTGGGCGTTAAGGGTTCGCGTGCCGTAGGGTCGTTTCAGCCGAGCACTTAGAGTCCCCGCGAGCTCGAGATCTGTGAGCAGCCACCATGTCGATCTTTACCCCCACCAACCAGATCCGACTGACCAATGTGGCCGTGGTGCGGATGAAGCGGGGAGGGAAGCGCTTCGAAATCGCCTGCTATAAAAACAAGGTCGTCGGCTGGCGGAGTGGCGTGTGAGTGATCCTGTGCCCAGAGTTCAGCGGACGGGCCACCCCGAGGCATGGCCTCCCTAACCCCGGCTCTTGAGAGTCACGGGTCCCTCTCAGGCCTGGTTTGCCTGGTTCGGATTGGGTTCTAGTTTGGGATTTTGTTGGTGTCGTAAAAACTGCCAATTACAAACTCTGTCAGAGCCGGGTGGAACTGATGGCCTAGGCCTGTAATCCCAGCGCTCCAGAGACTGAGGCAGGAGGATTGCTGCGAGTTCCGGGCCAGCCTGAAACGTGTGTGTGCGTGCGCGTGTGTGAGTGTCACCCTGTCCTAATAAAACAAAGCTGCAGTCAAGAGGACTCGAAATTGCAGAGGCCTCTTGGATTAATGATTAAGACAGGAATCCAGTACTCCAAATGCTATCACAAAGAAAAGAAACATTGTTGCCGTTTTCCAGGGATAATAATCGGGAAGCTAATCCTACACCTGCAAATACTGAAACTAGTACAGCAAATGTCTCACACACCTCAGAATCCCCAGTTTCCCAAAGTGCGTAGAGACTTCGCTACTGCCATCTAGGGACAGATATTCCAGGATGGACGCACCACTCCCCACCACACCCTGAGTTTCCTTACATAAAACAATGACGTGTTTTTTTTCCCTCCGTGGTGAAGTGGACAGATACTGTCTTGAGTTTTCGATTGGTCCTGCGCAGGTAGTCACAAGGGAGAGAGACTAAATAGTGTGTGTGTGTGTGTGTGTGTGTGTGTGTGTGTGTGATTTCTCCTTTTTTCCTTTAGGGTTTTTTTGGCTGTTGTTGAGGCTAGCCTTAAACTCCCTTATTTCCCTGCCTCTACCTCCTAAATGATGGATTACGGGTGTGCACATCACACCCAGCTCGCAGCACTGGCCGTTTATGTTGTTGGCATCTTGTGTTTAAATGTGAGTGGATTTTCAGCTGTCCAGTGGATTCACGTAGGACTTTCTCTCCTGCCCTTTCAAGGGAAAAAGACCTTGATGAAGTTCTGCAGACCCATTCAGTGTTTGTAAATGTTTCCAAAGGTCAGGTTGCCAAGAAGGAAGACCTCCTCAGTGCATTTGGGACAGATGACCAGACTGAAATCTGCAAGCAGGTAGGTCCTGCCAGGTGCAACATAACAAATTCTCATGATGACAGGCAACATCAGGACCACTGTGTTTTGTTGTTGTGGGGTTTTTTTTGAGACAGAGTCTCACTATGTAGCCCAAGCTGACATCAAACTCAGTGGCTAGCCATGCTGCTATGGAACTTCTGCTTCCCCAGCATCATGCCACCTCACCCACATCCATTATAACTTGCAGTGATTAAGACTCCAGATACTATCAGAAAGAAAAAGAAACTTACTATGGTCATTTTTCTGGAATAAGAATTGGGAAGCTAATCCTGCAAAGACTGAAATGAGCCTGCAGATGACACACACTTCCCTGAGAATCCCCACTTTTCATCTAGGGACAGATATTCTAGGATAGAAGTTTTTAGCACCGCTCCCACCACACCCTGAGTCTCCTTACATAAAACAGTGTTGTGGGGTTTTTTTGGTTCCTCCCCCCTCTGCTCTAAGATTAAGTGGGAGATATGGGGGCGGGGAGAAGACACACACATCAGACAGTATATCACTATGTAGCTCTGGCTGGCCCAAAACTCACTGTGTAGACCAAGCTGGCCTTGAACTCACAAAGATCCACTTGCCTCTGCCTCCTGAGTTCTGTAGTTAAAGACGCATACCACCATGCCCAACTTTTTTTTATTTTATATGTATGCACAGGTATGCAAATTGGTTCAAGGTGCCTGAGAGACTAGAAAATGACCACAACACTAAAACCGATTTCCCCTGGACCCAGAGTTAGAAGCATTTGTTAGCTCCGTGTTCTGGGTGCTGGGAATTGAACTCCAGTCCTCAGGAAGTACAGCAAGCTCCCTTTGCCACTATGCCTTCTCTCCAGTCCCAAGTGCTGGGATAAAAATTGTATACCACCACATATGCTTATGGAGTTTTTAGTTTTGTTGTTTTGGTTTTTTTTTTGGGCCGGGTAGGGGGGGTGTTCTGTGGTGGTTCTGAGAATCGAACCCAGGGCCTTTAGTATGCTAGGTATTCGCTAACACTAATCTTCCTGTTGTTGCCACCCTTTAACACAGTCCCTCATGTGGTGGTGTGACCCCCCAACCATAAAATTATGTTGTTGCTACTTCATAACTGTAATTGTGCTACTGTTAGGAATGGTAATATAAATATTTGATATGTGGGATATCTGATATGTACCTCCCAAAGGGGTCATGACCCTGAGGGCTGAGGACTGCTGCTCTAAATGGACTTTCTCCCTGGCCCTTAGTAAACGGGCTCACCTAACTCCTTATAATCCAGTGCTGGGTTTAGGCAGCATGTGGTTCAGCAGCAGCTACAGTGGGTGATACTTCCTTTCCTCCCTGCTAACTAATTCTATTCAGTAGAGAGAGATAACTAGAACTGATGAGGGCTTTCTGTGTGTTCTGCCATCTTTAGATTTTGACTAAAGGAGAAGTTCAAGTGTCAGATAAAGAACGGCACACACAGCTGGAACAGATGTTTAGGGACATTGCCACCATTGTGGCAGACAAGTGTGTGAACCCGGAAACAAAGAGACCCTACACCGTTATCCTCATCGAGAGAGCCATGAAGGACATCCACTACTCCGTCAAACCCAACAAAAGCACAAAACAGCAGGTAGGGTTCCTTGTTGTCTTCAGAACCTAGGGCCATGGAAATATCTGACGCTCCGGCCTTCCCGTCTCCGGTGCTGGGATCAGAAGCACACACTCATAGTCTGCCTGGCTGTGCTGGTGGTTAGTAGCAGGGACTTGAACATTCTGGGCAAGCACTGTCCCAGCTGAGCCACACTCTTTAGCTGCTGCCCCTCCGTATGATGGGACACAAACACACGCAGAACTCTTACTTCCTGTCCAGCTCAAACCTTTAAAGACAAAGCTTGGACTTTGAGTCACATGAACACTTTCCCTATTTCTGTTTATGAACATATTTCATACAGCTCAACTACATGCCTGGATTTCAAACACTTGCAAGGCTGAGACCCTGTCTCAGAAAACAAAGTCACTGTTTTTTTGTTTGTTTGGTTGGTTAGGTTTTTTTTTTTTTTTACAATATTCAGCTCTATAGTACTCACAGAGCTTACAACCTTTTCAAGTTGTAATGCTGGTACCTTCATCATGAGGGAGATGGAGGCAAAATGTCATCCTTCACTACATAATGAGTTTGAGGCAAGCGTGAACTGCATGAGAAACTTTATCTTAAAGGCCTGGGGAGATGGTTCAGGACATAAGAGCACTTTTTACACAAGAATGCAGACCTAAATTTGGATATCCAGAACCTCAATAAGAATCCGAATTGGATCCTTTGCTTCTGCACCCGTAACCCCAGTAATGCTTCCTGCGGGTCAGTGCCTGAGGTGCCAACACAAAGGCCTGTCAGAATTTAAATGTGTATTGGCAGTTACATCTAAACTCAGAAGCTCTCAAATCGTTAGGCATCCTGACACGCTGAATGGCTATTTATTAGGCTTTCAAGGAAGCCACTGAGTCTGTCTTATCTACCCAGTGACGGTTTCTAGGCAGAGGTGTACACACAGTGGGAAGGTCATTGCTGGACGACTTGTGGGATGCTCGGGTCCATTTTCCCAAGGAACATGCCTCTGGTCTCCCCACTGTTCTAGAATTACTGTGAGCTCAGCTATGGGCTCCGGTCCTCCAAGTTCATGGCTTAAAACTTGGTGAGGCCAACAAAAAGACATTTTGTCTGTTCTAGAGAAGATCACTTACGTTTGCAAAGATACATAATTCCCACCTCACACATTTTCTGGCTTTTGGAGCGCTAAGCCCGAGTCCTCATGCATGCTAGGTAAGTGCTTTACCACTGAACTGATTCCCAGCCTTTGACAGTGCTTTCTTCCAAAGCAAAAAAAAAAAAAAAAAAAAAAAAAAATTTTTTTTTTTTTTTTTTTTTTTTAAAAAAAAAACACTATCTCATTTTTCTGTTTTTTTTTTTAAAGACTTATTTATTTTTTATGTATATGAGTATACCATTGCTCTCTTCAGACACACCAGAAGAGGGCACCAGATCCCATTACAGATGGCTATGGGCCACTATGTGGTTGCTGGGAATTGAACTCGGGACCGCTGGAAGAGCAGTCGGTGCTCTTAACAGCTTGAGCCATCCCTCCAGCTCCATATCTCATTTTTCTAGGATTGCTTGTATCTTGGCCATGAAGCCATTGGCATACGGCAGCTATGTGGAAACTGCTTTGTTCGTGTGGGACATGTGAGTGAGTGCAGCACAAAATCTACATAACAAGCGCTCCTCGTTATGTCTTGAAAGGCTCTGGAAGTGATAAAGCAGCTGAAAGAGAAGATGAAGATAGAGCGGGCGCACATGCGACTGCGCTTTATCCTGCCGGTGAACGAAGGGAAGAAGCTGAAGGAAAAGCTAAAGCCTCTGATGAAGGTCGTGGAGAGCGAGGACTACAGCCAGCAGCTGGAGATCGTAAGATGATGGGGGTGGGGATCCCGGGATTATGACTTTCACACATTATTCTTGGCTTCCTTCTACCAGCGTAGCCTCGTTCCTGATCATAAATGCTGTGTTCATTAAATTTGCATAGCTGTGACCCAAACACTTGAGAGAACAGATTAAAGAAGTAAGGTTTATTTTGGCTCAGTCTGAGAGGGTTCAGTCCACGACTGCTTGGCCCTTGTGCACTTGGGCAGGACAGGAAGGAGAGGAGACAGGGGAACTGAGGAGCAGGTGTAGCCTACAGACCGGCCCCTGAGATCCATCCACTGCCTCCATGGACAGCTCAGCCACCAACATTCCCAGAAGGGGCAAAATAGCACCAGCAGCCAGAGATAAAACTAAGAACACGTGAGTCTGCTAGGGACATTTCACATTTAAACCATGGAATGATATTTACAAGGTGTGGCTAGGCTAACATGTCCAGGTATAAATAGGATAGTGCATTAAGCAGTCACATGGTTTTCTTATTTGCCTCTTTGTCAAAGCATTCATAAGAGAATTGTGTTGGCCATATTCATTTTCTTCAAAATAATAGGATATATTTGACACTGACTCTTCTTTTAAGGGGTAACTAAGAGTGAAAGTGGAGCCAGGTATGCACACCTGTCACCCCAGCACTGCAGAGGGAGAGGCAGAAGGATCGTGAGTTCAGGTCCAGAGTCAATTTGAGACTAGCAGTTACCAGCTTTCTTTTTTACCAGAACGCATTAGCAGTGGAAGGATCTGATGCTGGGGGTGACTACTCTAGACAGAAACAGCTTGCCCACACTGTAAATATCTGCACTTTGCAGAACCTACCATGGCTTCTCAGTATGTCTCTCCAGTCTGTTTCACGGGTGGTGGTGACTGTAAGGTAACCTATAAAACTAATGCTAGATTTCATCCTGGAGAGGACCATAGTTTGCTACAGCCCCTATATATATATACACACACACACACACACACAGAATCTGGATGTCTTAGGAAGGAGTAAGGTGCTAGGGATTGAACCCAGGGTCTTTTTTTTTTTTTTTAATTTATTTAATGTATATGAGTACACCGTGGCTCTCTTCAGACACACCAGAAGAGGGCATCCGATCCCATTACAGATGGTTGTGAGCCACTATGTGGTTGCTGGGAATTGAACTCAGGACCTCTGGAAGAGCAGACAGTGCTCTTAACCACTGATCCATCTCTCCAGCCCCTGAACTCAGGGTCTTAATGCTAAGCAATGCTGGTTCTCCCTGTGAGCTGCAGCACTGGCCAGGCGAGTCTCAGGGGTAAGTGCCTTTTCCAAAGTCCAACAGTAGATCCTTAGCATGAAGACTGCGCTCCAGAGCCAGTCTGCTGCCCTGGCCTCCACCATGGGAGCAGCACCTAGTACACAGCCAGAGGTCTGCCCTGAACTTTAAGACTTGATTTATTCTGTGTGTTACTCATTCCAGGTATGCCTCATCGACCCAGGCTGCTTCAGGGAAGTTGATGAGCTAATAAAAAAGGAAACCAAAGGCAAGGGTTCTCTGGAAGTGCTCAGTCTGAAGGACGTGGAGGAAGGAGATGAGAAGTTTGAATGACACCGCCCAGCTTCTCAGCTGCAGCACGACCGCGGACACTTGTTCCTGACAGCAGCAGGAGCAGCTCTTTTCTGTGACCTGCCAAGAGCCCTGCTCAAGTGATGTGCCACTTTCCATCTTGTGTTAAAACATTTGCCCAGGTACCTGGGTATTTTTGTTGTCAGCTGGGGTTTCCAGCAAAAATGAAAAATAACGCAAAATACAGAGTCCAGACCGCTCTTCACTGCTGTGTATGCCTTTCTAGTTCCAAAGGGAAGACCAGAGACAGCGTTGGTGGATAAGAAGGTAGGGTCAGTCCATGACAGATCATTGGAGAGGGGTCTGTAACAAAGGGGGGACGCTTGCTGGGAAGGAAGAGGTGGTGTTTCTGCATAATGAAGTCCAGGTCTGGGGTGTGAGCATGGAGAAAACCTGGTTCCCTACCAATGGATATATAATGACTAGGGAGAGGTTGAATTTTTAATTTTCAACAAACATGATACCACAACTGACTTAGTTAGATTATTCTTGGGAAAATATATAAAGTCATTTAATACTAATTCTTAAAGGTTTATAATTATATGTTAGAATAGTTACAATTATATGTAATCAATAAAACTTATTTTTATTAAGCTCTGGCTTGCATTTCTAGACAGCTTCCTTTTTTGCTCTGGTTTTGTATTTCGTACTTTTCTCACTGCTGTGATGAAATGCCTGAGAAAAACATCTTAAGGTAAGGTTTTACCTCAGCTCACAGTGTGAGAGGTCACAGCAGAGACATGGCAGCAGGATGGCAAGGCAGCATGGCCAGCTGCCTCGCCATCAGGAAGCAGAGAAGAGCGCAGATGCCTCTCTTCCTTTCTATTTTATCAGGACCCCAGCCCAGACAGAAAACCCAATCTAGAGACTCTCACAGATGTGACCAGAGGTCTGTTCCCACTGTGATTTTTGCATCCTGTCCAGATGGTGGTACTAACCATCAAAAACTGAGATGGGCGCGGGGAGTTACAGGTTTGGTTTGTGATTTGAGGGTCTTAGTCAAAGACCTTTAATCCCAGCACTGGAGCAGACAGATCTAAGGCCAGCCTAGTTTCCAGCATGCTCCAGGACAGCCAAGAGCTGGAGTTATAGCTGTGAGCCCAATGTGGGTGCTAGAAATTGAACTCAGGTCGTGTGGAAAGTGAGCTCTTAAGCACTGAGCTGTCTCCAGCCATAGCCTGCTGTTAATGGTGGCTGCGAGCACACTAAGGACTTATAGATGATCGGCCAGGGTATCTTTATCTCTGCTGGTTCATTGGGTGTGAATCCTGTACACTGAGAATAGAATCCAGAACGCTACTGCTTAGCTGTGCCCTCAGTTGCTTACTGGGATGTTCTAGGTTAGCCCTGACTCTTTCTAAGGCCTTCTGGTGGAGTTCGGGTCAGGTCCATGGTCTCATACAAGGTTTTACACTCTGTACAAAGACCCATGGATTTGTTGAGGCCACCTTAGTAGGAAACACTGGCCACCCTTCATCCTCAAGGCAGGAGATACTTTAAAAAAAAACAGCCTGCAAAACCCTGGAAGTGCTCCTTGCCTACACTTTTTGTTTAAGGAACACCTATCAGGCTGGAGGAAAGACGACAAACCAAGTAAATCCAGATGTTTTATTCTGTAAAGCACATATGCACATACTTCAAACACAGAAAATCAATGAGGGAGGGACGCCATCACAGATCAGCTAGTGACCATCATGCAGCAAGGGACGGGAGATGGATCTGCTGCCCTCGAGTCCCACAGTGCCTGCAGGAGGGTCAAAATGCAGGAGGCTGGGTTCCTATGCACTGCCAAGAACACAACAGAAATACCAGGTTCCAAACGATGAGAACTTACACATAGAATCAAAACTGATTCAAGTCATACCATACGGTGAAAGACAAAAGGAAAGAGATCAATATGATCCGAAACAATCATTTCCCAGGAAGTCACTGACTTCTGACTATACCCCCACACCTGAGGACAAGCCAGTGCCGCTGGGGTCAGAGGTCTCTAGTGGCCCACTCTGACATTCCATTTCTGAGGTTTACCAGCAAGGAGCAGCTGAGGACCAGGCCCAGATGTGTCTGTAGTCCCCTAAACTTCAGCCCACAACCTCCTTCCCCAGCCATCCTCCATCCGTCTACCTGCTATGGTGAATATTTGGGTTTTAAAGTATGTATCTGGCCTCAGGATGTCCCAAGCATTTTGGGGACTTCCTTTCCCCAGGTCTTGTGGTGTTCCTCCTTTCCACCCTCTACAGTTCCCAGCCACTGCCTGTCATTAACACAAGGATGACTAAGAGGAACACAGCTGACACAGCAGTGAACAGGATTCTTCTCGTGTCTTACTCTACTGGGTCTTACTCCTCAGTAGCAGCTTAGTCTGAAGCTTGACGGTTCCAATGACACATTTATACCAGGCAAGCCATGGGGACTCTCTCCATCCTGCCCAACAAGGGTCTCAAAGTCTCAGAAAAGACTAAATTAAATTCAAATATCAGCCACCTTATAAGCAACTCACCTCTGCTTTAAGAAATACTAGTGCATCATCACGTAACTACAATGATTATTTTAACAAGCTTCAATTCAAAACAAAAACCAAAAGTATTGTTTTCCATCTAAGAATGCCTGGGATAAAATTCTCTAGGCCAGTTAAGTTTCAGAATATAGCAAGTTAACTCCAATTGAGACAGATCTACAGTTATGGGACAAAAGTACTGACTGACATACCTAGGTTTTTTTTTTCCTTTGAGAGATAGGGGATCAGTATGTGGCCCAGGCTGGCCCTGAACTTGAGATTCTCCAGCCTCAGCCTCCAGAGGGCTGCTCTTACATGCATTCATCCTCACACCCAACAAGTCTAGAACACTGCTTGAGAGAACACTGCATGGGGATTGTTAAGGCAAGGTGTTGATAGAAAAACATTGAAAATACAAGTACCAGGCGGAAGGGATCGTGAATGATTTTTCTAAATGGAATATGAGAGGGCAATGGGACAGAGGAACCAGAGGGTCACAACCAGCCTAAGGAAAATGCTTCCGGTTTTGACTAGCAAGCCATCAGAGCATGATGCCTTCTTCCTTCAGATCTCTCCAGCATCGGTTTCACATTCCATACCTATAATGGTCATTCTCCTTCTGGAGATGTGTGATGTACAAAAATGAATGAAAAAAAAAATTAAAAAGAAAATGTATCTCCCTTTCTTTAAAAAAAAAAAAAAAAAAAAGAGCAAGCCCTGATTGTGAGCATTAGAGCAACCCACCATCTCTTCTGCCTGGTGAAGTTAGTCGGCCTGCACAGCATTACACAGCTACTTCTCCAGCTAGAAACTTCTCTATCAGGAGCACACAGGAGCAGAGCACTCTGGTTCCTAGCTGCTGGGGTAGAAATGGAACGCTGATCTTCACTACAGAAATGACTGGGGTGTGAGACCTCTCACCTAGGAGAGACAAGCACACTTGTCCTAACCAGGGGAATAGTAAATTGTAACTTTTCTTTTCTCTTTAAAACAAAGTTTCCTTGCTAGCAAACAGAAGGAATTACTGCTGTCACTATATGGTCATTGAGCCACAGACATGTAAGAGCCACAGGAGGGAAGAGTGGCTTCTGAAATGCAGTGTCCTGACAAAGGTGAAAACAGCTTCCAACAACTCAACACACCAGCCTGAAACAAGAACCACAGCAAACCTCGGCCCCACTGGTACTGGAACACAACCTGCTCGGCTCTGGCAAGATCCCCACATCCCCCTGGCACTACATGGAAGAAGCCCATGTCCATTCCATGCCCTCCTGCCCCTCAAAGAGGGTGACGAGTTCAGGCTGCATCCAGGGCAAAGCACGTGCATCACAGGACCAATTTCCAGATCAATGTTTATAAATATGTACAAATCAGTTACAGGCACTTGAAATGTCTTTGGCTGGATTAACCCAACATTGCAAGATCGTGTATTCACAGAGTGGCCAGGCCCTGGCCGATTCAGCAGGCAATGATCATGGTTCTTGGTCTCTCAGAAAATGGGGAGCAGTGGGATTAGGCATCAGCCAAAGCCACCTAGAAGAAAGCAAGCAGACAATTGAGTCCACTAGGGAGCCACACCTAGAACACTACCGCGTGGTCATACTGACTATCAACAATTACCTTCTGGCAAGGGAATTAAGACTTTAAGGAAACTACCTCACCTCGGAGAAGAATGAACAAAACCCTAAGTCTATAAGGAGTTCCAACCTGCAAAACCACTTACGCTATGCTTGGAGAGCTAACCATTCATTCATTCATTCATTCATTCATTCATTCATGCTGGCTTGGAACACTGTGTAGACTGGCTTTGAACTAACTGATTGCTTTGCCTCTGCCTCCTAAGGACTAAAATTAAAGGTGTGTGCCCCCATTCCTAACCTTGGATTTGGTTTTGTTTTTGGTTTTTTGAGACAAGAATTCAGGTAGCCTAGGCTGACAAACTCACTATGGAGTTGAGGATGAGTTTAAAGTCCTGATCCTCCTGCCTTGACCTCCCAAGTACTGGGATTACAGGCGTGTACCATGTCTGGTTTACAAAGTGCTGCAGACTGAGCCCATGTCCTTATGCTTGCAAGACACGCACTGTTCTAACCAAGCCACATCCCTAGCCACTAGTTAACTGGCCCTGATGTTTGCTGCATGACTCGTGTGTTGAAGGAAGGACTGGGAGTAAAAGGCACAAGGGACATGAACTCTCCATCAGAGATTATTCCAGAACAGCCATGAAATCCAGCTTTTTTTTTTTTTTTTTTTTTTTTTGAGAAAGGCCTGTTGGTACAGCCAGCCAGACCCACTCACCCACTCCTCACCTTCTCAGGGCAGTATTCAGGATTGCTCTGCCGCAGTTTGCTAGGTCTGCCTTTGATAACCGCATAGCAGAACATCGTTATCACCATCACGAACAGGAAGTAACTGGTGTGCATGAGATGCAGGTTTATTAATGAGCGGTCGTCCTGAAGAAGAAAGGAAGTCAGACATGCAGTCCATCAGTGCTTAACAGCAGCTCCATGGCTGCACCAAGCTCATCCCTTTGTGGTGCTCAGAATTGAACCCATGGCCTCACACACACTGGACTACCACTGAGCTCCATCTCCAGCCTCTCAACAGTAATTCTTAAGTTTGAACGGGCAGTCTCTTCATGTGTCTCCAAAACTACTCCCCTTTTCCTACATAGTTGTCATTATGTGAAGACATGGAGCTTCCATGCAAGGGGAGCTGCAGACACCTGCCAGAGCCCCGCTCTGCTCTGACATGTCCTCCTGATCCCACAAAGCAGCTGGCCTGCTGCTTTCCCTCTGAGACAGCCCTCCACTGGACAGCTGGCACATCCCCCCAGTGACAGCCCTCCACTGGACAGCTGGCACATCCCCCGAGAGACAGCATCCCTTTTCCTTTGGTATTCATTATGTCCTGGTAGGAAGGGGCACATGCTAGCCTCATTCCTAAGATCTCATATGTAACCACAGTAGAGGACCTTGGGAGAGACCTTGGCTACCTTCCATTACCTTCTCTTGACCCAGTGCTCAGGGCCCATCAAGAGTCTCACTCTTGAGTCCAGCTTGACCTAAAACTCACTATGTAGCACAGGCTGGCCTGGAACTCATCTCCTTGAGTACTATCTAGAGCAGAGCAGTCTTGTTTAAGACTGACTTTTACAAATGTGTGTGCCATGTGTGCAGGGCCTGTGGAAGCCAGGAGTGCACCAGGTCCTCAGCAACTGGGGTTACAGGTGCTATCTATGCACTGCCTGACGAAGGTGAACTCTGGTCCCCTGCAAGAGCAAGCGCTCCCAACTTCAGAGCCATCTCTCTAGCCCCAGACCAGTGAGTGCATGAGTGCTTTAACAACCACCAACAAGGCAGTCAGGGGCCTGCTGAAGAAGACAGGTGAACACTGTGGCTGGCAGGGAAGGAAGGCTCTGGAATCTGACCTCTGTCCATCATGCACCCTTCCCTTAAACCGCACACTAGCAGCTCCCTGGCTGCCAACATCCGTAACTGAACAGAAACTGAAAAAGGATAGTCCAGGGAAAAAGAAAAAGCCATGTAGCAGCACACTCAGGAAGCAAGCAAGGTAAAGTCATCAGTGTGGGAGACTGTGCCCGCAGACTGGAGCAGGACTGCTTCCTCTTTCCTCTGAGGCTACATGTTATGTAGGCTCCACTATCAAGACAAATACACATTCTAGACCAGGGATGGCGGCACAAGCCTATAATCCCAGCACTTGAGAGGCCGAAGCAAGTGGATCACAACTCCCAGGCCTGCCTGAGCTACATAGTGAGACACTGTGTAAAAAGAGAAACAAAGATTTGCCTCTTCCTATGAACTTCCGCCCTTTCTATACCCTACACAGCACTGGCTATTGCTAACATTGACATTAAGCAGATACTCTGCATGTAAGGCCTCATAGGAATTTCACAGTGACCCCTATGGGTTACAAACACAACAGATCTTAACATAAAACTGCTGCTAAAAACCACAAAATTAAGGAACAAGTTTTTTCTAAACCACAAAGGTACCAAGTTGTCCACAGCTCTACTGTCTAGTCTCCCAAACCAAGTGGAAATCTTCAACGGCCAAGGCTGAGCTAACCCAAGATGTAACATTCATACACTCACAGTTCCGGGATGCATGTGTACGCACACACACACACACACACACACACACAAACATGATCACGGACACACAACGAGGACTTGTCTCACTTACATCTGGAACAATGACGGTGAGTTTGGGGTTTAAAGCATGGTAGACTTTCCCGATGGCGCCCTTGTAACACCAGAGTGGATTGTAGTCTTGAGCATATTTTGTGTTGGCATCTCTGGCAGTTGTGAAGATCTTGTACCAGAGTGTGGCATTGCTGTATGTGTCGGGGACACAGTGAGGTGGCTGACTGCAGGGGAGAGGAAGAGACCAGCTTGGTGACCTGAAACATTTATTTGGGCTCCCTCCACACAGCACTCAGCAACACTGAACAGAGCAACATGAAGAAAGGAGAGAGAAGACATTTGGAACAATTCCCATGCTCCTCTGGGACAGATACCATTATGCTTTGAGATAGGATCTCAATACATACCAGAGGCTGGCCTACGAGTGCCTAGAATTCCAGGTGTAAGCCAACACATCTAACTTCTATGGTGGCTTTTGTTTTGTTTTAAATACACACATAAGGCATGGGACTGGACACCTATAATCCCAGAAGTCCAGAGTGAGGCAGGATGACCAGCAATTCTAAGCCAACCTCTGCTGTATACTGTTTGAGACCAACTTAGACTACATGAGACTGTCTCAAAACAAATCCCCCACAAAACTAAAAACGAAAATAACTGTACTCATGTATGCATCCCCTACAAATATACACAATTTAAAGTAATGAAAATCAATCTTTAAAAAATATAAAATAAAATATAATTTCTGGGTCACAGAGAGGAAGAGAACCTTTACCTTTAGGAACCTTTAATTACAGGTCACTCTGGCAGGGGACCTGGCTCTTCCTTGTCCGATACATGATTCCTTTAGTAGGAAAGGTAACTGGAGAGTGGCCACAGCATCACTACCCCACTGAAGCACTAGCTTGGGGGCGGTGCTTCTTTCTGGTTTTGTTTTGTTGAGACAAGGCTAGCCTTGACCTCCACCTCCACCCTTCCAGTGCTGGGACTACAGGTGTACTTCACATGCCCAGTTTATTCTGTGAAATGGAACCCAGGATTTCATGAATGCTAATCAAACACTCTACCAACTGAGCTACAACTGACACATCTGTTTATGGAGAAGTTAGCACTTCAAATTAAATTAAATAATCCCTAAAGCCAGCAAGATGGCTCAGAAGGCAAAGGCGCTTGCCACCAAGCCTAACAATCTGAGTTCAGTCCCTGGAACCCACACAGGAGAGAACTGACTCCTGTAGGACACTTACACGGTGACAGGGAAGACTCCAGGGGCAGCTGTGAGGGTCATGCATGCTGTGAACACCACCTGCTCACAGTGGCCATGAAGGGCACAGTCATCGGCGTTCCAGGCAGCAGGCAGAGTGAAGGTGATGTTGATCTCCTCATGAGCTTCCCTACCTGTGGAAGAATTAGCAGTTTATTGGTGGACACAGGCAAAAATTTATAGACTGTTTGCTGGTATTCAAATAAGTCTGAAGCCAAACTCAACAGGCACTGACTGGCCTCACACCTGCCCTATGAGATTTCTGAAAGCCACAGACCTGATCTGTGAGGCCCACCAGACTAGCCCAGCCACAAAGTAGTTCACAAAAGGCTTTTCAGTTGGGGGATAGGGAGCCATGCCAGAGCCCAGACAGGAACAGAGTTGGACAACATGAGTGGGGTGATTTTCCGTACTAATGATACTTCACCCAGAATCCACCACTATGCCATGCATGTGCCTCAAGCATCTCTGCACACATACACAAGGAGAAGCAAAGGGTCTACCAGACTTAGGGATGGTCTTGGGACTACAAAGTGAAGCTTGAACTAAATCAAGATGTTCTAAAGTCATTAGGAGAAAAGGGTGTTTGCTTCCTGAAACTCACAGGAGTGATTTGTATTCTTACTATCATGGCACTAACTGTCCACTCTTAACAGTCAAAGGCAACAGGACTTGAAGTTATCACTCCAAAGTCCAGCCAACCCTTAGAATGAACAAAGGCTTTCCAGATTTTCCCAGCTTCCTTTCAGGTCTTCGTACACCACTAAACTACTGTGCCCAGGCTTAGCACATACAAGCAGGCATGGTCATAATCTATCTATTTACTTTCTGCATTATTTAGTGTGGTGGTTGGAATGAGAATGGTCCCCATAGGCTCAAATATTTGAATACTAGTCCCAGATTGGTACAAGTATTTAGGAAGGATTATGATGTGTGGCCTCGTGGAGGAGGTATGTCCTGGAGGTGGGCATGCACACCTTTAATCCCAGCACTTGAGAGGCAGATGGATCTTTGGAGTTCTGAGTTTGAGGCCTGGTCTACAGAGCAAGATCCAAAACAGCTAAGGCTACACAGAGAAGCACTACTGGGGGAGGTGGGGGAGCCTCTGCCATTCCCAGTAAGCTCACTGCCTCCTGTTGTGGGCTAAGATATAAGCTCTCAGCTGCTGCTCCAGCCACCTGCAGCCTCGCCTTTGTCCAACCATTAGCTATCATAAACTCAAGCCTCTAGGATAATTAGCCCAATTAGACTTTGAGTTGCTTTGTTCATGGTGCTTTAACACAGCAATAGAAAAGTAACTGATACATTTAACAAGTCCCTAATTAGCATTTTAAGCACCTAGTAAGTGTTAATTCATGATGAACTTTCAGGGTAACCCACCCCCACACATACTGTATGGACTGGCTATGAAGGTATAGCCCTGTCTTAACTGTTAATTGCTGTGCCAGTGGCAGCACCAGGCTAACAAGATATGTGAATGTTTGTCACTTCCTCACCTGCCCCCAAAGAAAGGCAAGTTGCCAAGGGGGAAGAATCTCACACTATGCTAATAGCTTTTTTTTTAATATCAGAAAGAAGTGTGTCATTTGAGCAATAAATTACTGGCAGCTGAAGCTGGGGCAGAAGAAAAGAAGACAGAAGAGAGAGGCAGAGGGATGGAGGCAGAACAAGAGCAGGGCAGAGAGGTAGAGCAGAGAGAAAGCCACAGGGAAAGACACAGTGGCAGAGAAGTTAGTTAGGGTGAGTTAGACGGACTCCAGCAAAAAGGCCAGCAGCCTTATACTATACAGATGTCTCCGTGTCTTTGTTATTAAATCACAAGCAGAGACCCCTGAAAGTCCTATAATAATGAGCTGCCTTAGTAAGCTTTCCACTACTGTGATAAAACACTATGATCAAAAGCAACCTGGGCAGAAAAGGGTTGGTTTGGTTGTATCTCTCAGGTCATATACATTGCTTAGGAGGTCAGGCCAGGGCCTCAACCAGGGTAGGAACCTGGAGGCAGGAGCTGATACAGAAGTCATGGAGGGGCAAGACTTCCTGGCTTGCTCTCCATGGGTGCTCATCTATAATACCCAGGCTCACCAGTCCAGGAGTAACACCACCCACAATAAGCTGGGGTCCTCCCACATCAATCATCAAACACACACCCCCGCAGGCTTAACCACAGGCCAATCTAGTGGGAGTATATCATCAACTGATGTTTCCTCTTGCCAGATGACTCGTTTGTATCAAGCTGACATAAAACTAGGCAGTATATGAACTTTGGTTGGTGTTCGGTTTATCTTTTTTAGTACTGGGACCTAAACCCAGGGCATTACACATGCTAGGCAAGCCCTTACCCAATGAGTTACACCCCCAGCCTGATTCCTGCTATTTTCGCCTCTTCTATAATCCCCAAATTTCAAGGCTGAAGGCATCAGGTCTGAGGCTATTTCTAGTTCTTCCTAGAAGCTAGCACACTGCTAAATAAACTGTGGACATTTAAAACTGTGCAGACCTAGGGCTGAAGAGATGGCTCAGTGGTTAAGAGAACCCTAGAATCAATTCAAAGGACCACACAGCAGTTCACTACTGTCTAAAACACTAGTCCCAAGGGGATCCTGTGCTCTCTGGTCTCCATGGCACCAGCCATATACATGGTACATTAGCCACACATACAAGCAGGCAATATACAATACATATAACATACTTTATTTTTCTTTCCCTGAGACAGGGTTTCTCTGTGTAGTCCTGGCTGTCCTGGAACTCACTCTGTAGACCATATAACATACCTAATTAATTTTAAATTAAAAAAAGTTCAGGCCTGAGAGAGCACTTTTTCACATGCATGAGGCCCTGGTTCAGATTCCAGCATCACAAACAACAGTAAATAATAGCCAGCATGACAGCTAAGCAGCTCAAGGGACAGTAAGCCTGGTGATGAAGTTTGGGACACAGGACTGAGGTACATATTTTACATATCAAAGCAGATATGGCCTTCAGGCCCTCCCAGCATCCCCAAACCCTACCTGGCACGCCCTACCCCACCCTATATAATCCAGACATTCTGCTCTCTTTTCTCTTCTCTCTCTTGGAGTGTACATAGACTTTCTCTCTCTTTTTCTTCTTCCTCCCCACTTCCCAAGGTGACTCCTCAGGCCTCAGTCCTTAGGGCCATCGAACTCGCCCAGAGAGCAGCTTCCCAATAAACCTGCCTTTAATATAATCTAATCTGGCTTGAATTGTCTCATTTCACCAATGGAGAAACAACCTATCAGATGACCTAAGATTAATCCTACCTATGTTTACAAACATATCTATAAACAGGTATACTGCTTGTGCACCCACACACAAACCCCAACACAATACACCTATTCATTGATATGTTTGTAAATACACTGTCTTGAAAAACACGAGGATGAAGTACTGACTCCCACAGTCAAAAAACTAAATATAGTTCTTGACTCCCCAGACTTAAATTTAACAACCAATTTAGCTCTATGTTGATTGGAAGCCTTACTAACAACTTTAACAGTCAATTAACACATATTTATTCCTGTATCATAAACAGGGAAAAATACACAGCAGCAAAATCGCTGCTTTCTGCTGTGTGCCACTGACACTAGACAGATGAATTGCTCGCAGTGACTTAGCATGTTTTAAGTGGACATGTGACCCCAATGCAATCAAAAAGAGTCTACAAAACTATTACAGTAAGACAGTGTGGGATGTTATGCTTCTAAGATGTCCTCATTGTTTTTATTTGTAGCATGTGCTGGCCTCAAACTCAACACTGATAACCCTGAACTTATTATGACCCTCCTGCTTCTACCTCATGACAACCACAAACTTTTCTTTTTTAATTCTCTGGTTTTTGTTTTGTTTTTCCTTTGAGACAAAGTCTTAATATGTAGCCCTAGCTATCCTAGAACTTGCTATGTAGACCACCAGATGGCCTCAAACTTGCATAGATGCCCCTGTCCCTGTCTCTTGAGTGCTGGGATTAAAGGCATGTGCCACCAGCTTTTCTGTTTACTTTTGAGGCAGGGGCCTGGCCTCGGGGCCTTTATGACCTAATACGGCATCCTTATGCTTCTTTTGCTTCACTTCTCTTGGGTTCAAATAGAGAGCTAGAGAGATGGTTCAGCAGGTAAGAGCAGAAGTCCTCTTGCAAAGGACCAGAGTTCAGTTCTTAGCACTCACATGGCAGCTCACAATCCTCTGTAACTACAGATCCAGAGGATCTAACACACTCTTCTCATGTTGGCAGGCACCAGGAACACACACACAGTGCACATACATCCACGCAAAACATTCATATACACAAAATAAAAGTTTTTAATAAAAAAAGTTCAAATATAAATGGACCTGAGCAAGTAAAACCTATGTTGGTCAAAGTTCAAATATACTGAGGCCAGAAACAGAGCCCGCACTTCCAGCTTCCCTCTCCTCCCACTCAGCCTCTCCCAGTGCTACAGAGGAACCCAGGGCCTCACACACATAAGCCCAGTGCTCTAGCAATGAGCTGTGTCTCTGGCCGCATCAGTCCTGACTCTTGACAAGCTTTTATGAAGAGACTGTGTATGATACCTGAAGACCCGACTGAGTGAAGATGCCCAGCAACCAGTCCTTCTTGACTTCATGAAGTCCAAGTCTCAAGAGGAGAAACAGCAGAAACACAGAACAGAACACGGAACCTATCTCAGCTGTTGCCTCAGAACTCTGAAAGGAAAGTAGCTGGCACACACCTGACAATCCAATCTGATGTCCAAGGATGGTGGAGTACAGGTGTGTAACATTTCGAGAGTACCCTCCAAATGGCTTGAGAGGGTCCAAGGTCAAGGTAATGGCCACTGAAATATTGATGGGGCCTGACTCCTCCAGGGACTGGGGCGGCTGTGTGGATGATCTGGCCTGCCCAATGGTCATGGTGCTCTCAGGTGTGGTGGTATCGTTAGAGAGATGCTTCAGTGTCTCGTTTTCTGATACACACAAGTCCAAATCATTAAACCGGAGCAGGAAAGTATTCCAATCCTTCAGCAAAATAGAAGAGAGAGAAGATATGAAGTCCCAGCATCTCCAAGGCAGAAACAACCATGACCCTGGACTGCTACCCAGCACAAGAGGAAAAGAATGAAATGAGGTTGATGGTCTCAAGTCACAATACACCACCACTCAGCACCTGTAGACTATCTGATATAATTATGTTAGCCCTGGTCATCTGCACACTCTGCAGTGGTTGAGAATTCAGCATATTGTAATTAAGTGAAAAATCAACTTGGCTCAAGATCAAACTCACTCAAAAAGGGACCTTGAAGGCCTGGAGAGCTAGCTTGATGGAGAGACTGCCATTCCAGAGATTGCCAGCACCCACATGGCAGTTAACACTAACTCCAGTTCCAAGGGACCTGATACCCTCTTTCTGGCACTTCCCACACATAGTGCACAGACATAAAATGGGAACAAAACCTCCACACACATAAAAGTAAATAAATGCAAAACAAAAAGGTTGAGGGCTGTCGCGATGACTCGGCGGTTAAGAACACTTGCTACTCTTACAGGGAAACCAAGTTTGGTTCCTAGCACCCACGTGGTGGCTCACAGCCGTCTGTAACTCCAGTGTCAGTCTTCGCATCCCTTTTGTGCTCCTTGGGCACATGGTGCACATATTTACATGCAGGCAAACACCCAGATATAGACACTAAAAATTTTACAAAAAAAATCAGTCAGTCAGAGGCAACCGACTCAGGAGGATCTCTGAGTTCAGGGCCAGCCTGGTCTACAGAGTGAGTTCCAGCACAGCCAGGGCTACACAGAGAAATCCTGCTTTAAAGAAAAAAGGGGGCAGAGGATCTTGAACAAAAGTGGTGACACATTAAAATCACTAATTCTCATTTATTTTATAATTTGTTTTGTTTTGTTTTAAGATTTATGTATTTATATTAATATATGGGTGTTTGTCTACATGTATGGCTGTGCACTACATGCATGCCTAAAACCTTGCAATTGTCTATTACTCCAATTACAGGGAATCCAACACTTTCTTCTGGCCTCTGAGGACACTGCATGCATGAGGACACAGACACACATGCAGGAAAACCATGCATCTATATTTAAATAAATAAATACATAAATAAAACGTATGGTGGTACAAACATTTAATCCCAGCACTTAGGAGCTAGAAGTCAGCCTGATCTGTAGAGTATCGGAACAGGCAGGGCTGCATAGTGAGACTATGTAAATAAATAAGTAATAAACCAATTAGAAATATAATAAAGAAAAAACTACACTGGAAATCAAAGTGTCCTTTACTTCTCTTTGGAACCTAGGACTCTTATCCATGCCCACTAAATGAACACTCTCTCTTCTGATTCTTTTGAAAGAGTCTTACTACACACTATTACTACATGGCCCAGGATAGCTTTGAACTCACACTCTTTCTGCCTCTGTCTCCCCAGTGCTGGGATCACAGGCATAGACCACCATACACAGTGTTTGTTTTATAAATAGACTCTCCCAAATGCATGTTTCTCTACACAAAACTGATATTATTACTTAAAACAACTAGGCATTCCTTAGCTAGTCACAGAAAAAAAGACAGGAAATTCTACATAAATATGTATCTCTTGCTGACATATCTACTATCTGTGTGCCCTTGAATGACAGAGCCAAGATGATATGGAGTTCAAAGCCAGCTTGGGCTTTAGGAGATCTTGTCTCAGAAAGAACTGTCCAGATGTAGTTATACACAACACATAATCCCAGCACTCAGGAGGCTGAAGCAGGAAAATCACATCAGGTTCCAGGTCAGCCAACAGCCTGCAGTACAGAGTGAGACCTCAACTATAAAAAGAGCTGTCCTCCCTCCATCCACTCCTCTACAAGGTCCATCCAGCACAAGTAGACATTAGGAGTACACTGACCTCAGCCATTTCTGGGGACTTAATCTCCTTGATCTTGAAGAAATAGCCCAGGGTGAGGAAGGCGATGGCCATGGCGCTGACACTGATCATAAAAACCACTAGCGGTGGCCGGCTGCTGATGTACAGCTTCAGGTTCTCCAGGGGGTTGATGCTGAACATGCTTCTCATCAGCGGCAACCTGCAACACAGTCAGCCTGGGACCGATGGGAGGGAGGTCTGCTCTCAGCTGTAGCACTCACTGTAGTCTCATATAATAGTGCTGTGGGACAAAGGCCGAGTCTGAGAAAACGTCCACACGGCGAGTTCAGTCGGAAGACTAGACGAGCCAGGCATGGTGGTGCATACCTGTGACTCCAGGAAGTAGAAGATCAGGAGTCAAAGTTCATCCTCAGCTATGGGCGAAGCCAGCCTAAACTGTATAAAACAGTCTTTCTAAGAAAATAAAAACTTATTTTAAAAAAGGAAAAGAAAGTGGAGGGGAAGGGTGGAGCTGCTAGCTCACTTAGTAAGTGCTTGCCTAGCATACACAAAGCCCTGGGTCCCATAACTAGCACTGTGTAAAACAGGCAGGGAGGCACACATCTGTAAGGCCGGCACTTGAGAGAAAGAGAGAAAAAAGGATCATGAGTTCAAGTTTATCCTTGGCCACATAATGACCAGGCTGGGCTACAGAAACTGTCACACACACACAGAGGGAGAGAGGGAGAGAGGGAGAGAGGGAGAGAGGGAGAGAGGGAGAGAGGGAGAGAGGGAGAGAGGGAGAGAGAGAGAGAGAGAGAGAGAGAGAGAACATTAGTAGTAGTAGTTCATGCACACAGGAGCCTTTTATCTACTGATCCCCCTGGAAAGGCTAATCAAGTGCTCTACCACTGAGCTACATCCCCAGCCCCCACTGCTCCTGACTCTAACCGAGCTGTCTGTGAGCTCTCTTGGATGTCTGTGTAGATAGTCACAGTTTGAGAACAAGAGCATCTGCAGTACTTCTTTCTCCTTTTTCCTACTTCAATGAAACATCAGTAGCAGCAGCTGTAATAAAATGCTCGCCTCACTTCTGCACTTAACAAAAATGCTTTGCAATGCTTCACTATTAAGTCTGGGACTCAACACAGGCTTCTGATGAGAAGTGTGCTGGTCAGTTTCATGTCAACTTGACACAAGCTACAGTTCTTTTAGAAGAGGCCGACTCAAATGAAAAAATGTGCCCAATCCATTGGCCAGTGAGCAAACCTGTGGTGCATTTTCTTGACTGATGATTGGTGTGGAAGGGCCCAGCTCAGTCTAGGCAGTGCCATCCCTGAGTTGGTGGTCTTAGGTGCTATAAGAAAGCAGGCTGAGCAAGCTATGAAGAGCAAGCCAGTAAGCAGCACCCCTCCAGGGCCTCTGCATCAGCTCCTGCCTCCAGGTTCCTGACCTGTTTGAGTTCCTTCAAGTGTTCTGGAAGTGGATGACAGACAAACTTTTTCTACCCCAACTTGCTTTTTTGTTAATGGTGTTTTATCTCAACATCAGAATCCCTAACTACAACAGAAGACTTCTCAAGAGTGAGCAAGTACTTAACTCTTTCTTAGAAGTTTACAAAAGATTTTCAGTATACTGGTTTTTTTGTTTGTTGGTTTTCGGGGTTTTTTTTTTAATGAGGGAAAGGGTAGAGACAGGGTCTCCTGTATTCTAAGCTGGCCTTGAACCCTGAGCTTCCCACCTCTGTCTCTCCCAAGTATTGGGATTATAGATATATGCTACCACGTCTGGCTTATTTTTTCTCTTGGTTCTGGGGATTTAACCCAAGGTTATGTTTGCTATGTATCTATTGAATACAACCAAATACTACATTTCAATGAATACTTCATCTGCAACGTCTAAACAATCAATTTTTGCCTTTTTCTCTGTTAAACTATACCCCAGTTCCTGATCACGACTGTTACAGCTGCTGTCGTATCTGCTCCCTTACTCCCAGCTTTTCTATGTATTCATAAATAAGACAAGCTTGTCATCTTGCATAGCTATCCTATCTTTTTTCCTTTTTTTTTTTTTTTTAATTCTTGAAACAAGATCTCCCTGTGTGCTCTGGATGGCCTGAGACTTCCTATGTGTATCAAGCTGGCTCAAGACTCACAAAAATCCACCAGCCTCTGCTTCCCAAGTACTTGGATTAAAGGCCTATGCTACCAGGAATAAGATGCACTTCTACTTCTTAGAAATTGATTGACTTTGGCCAGAAAACTATTTGAGTCTGCCAAGTATTTGTTTTCTATTTTGAGGAGGCTATCTTAGCTACTTTAACAATTTTAAATGCCTATATGACTATTTTTTACTTCTGGTGAGTCAAATTTGAGAAAACAGTTATCTTAAGAATTTTCCATTTTATATTGGCTTTTAAACATCACGACACAGAATTACTTTAAGATTTATTTTTATTTATGTGTATCTTTGTATGTTTGTGTGAGTGTGTCACATGTGTGCAGATATCTGTGGAGGCTAGAAAAGAGCACCAGATCCCCTAAAGGTGGAGTTCTAGGTGGCTGTTGGCCTGCTCCCATGGGCACTGGAACTGAACACAAATCCTCTGCAGAGGAACAAGCACTCTGAACCTCTGAGGCATCTCTCCAGCACTTTATTTGTAGTTTTGTTGTTGTTTTTTAACTCAGGTGGGACTAGAACTGGCTATGTGGCCAAGGAGGACTTTGAGCTTCAGCTCCTCCTGCGTCCACCTCCACATGCTATTTCAGGAATGCACCACCACATCCCATCTATGTATGTAGTGCTGGGAATTGAACCCAGGGCAGCTCAAGGGCCACACTTCTGAAACTTTCCAGTTGCATGGTATTCCCAAACTGTAAATCACTCAAGAGTAGGGAAATAATCTTACCTGTCTCTGCTTCAAAATATCTTGACAGCAAATGAAAGATTAGAACCATGTAAGGATGGGCAGAGGCTGACCGACCAGTACTAAGTTACAGTTAAGCAGGAGCAAGAAGTTATAGTGTTCTGTTCTACAGTAAAGCTATTCTCAAACAGTATGTAGTCCTGGCCTAGAACTGACTCTCCTGCCTCTACCTTCCAAGCGCTGGGATGATATGGAGCTAGGAATACAGGAGTGCAACTCCATGCCTACACAAAAGCACTTGCAACAAAACTATCAAGACTCCAAATACCTCACAAAACTCAAAGCCCTTTCTACCATTCACACTCATTTTCAAAGAGGAAATTAGAGGTTGTATGTATGTCTTTATCAGCAAAGAGGTGCAAGAAGGTTTCTGAACAAGGCATGGTGGCAAACACTTTAATCCCAGCACTCAAGAGGGAGGCAAGGTAGGCCAATCTCTGTGTCTGCGGCCAGTCTGGTCTATACAGAGTTTCAGGACAGCCAGGGCTAATAAGACTTCCCTTTAAGTTAAAAAAAAAAAAAAAAGTTTCTGTACTCCTCAGAGTTGAGCCTTACTTTTAAATAAAACCGCAAGCTGGATGGTGGTGGTACACACCTCCCAACACCCAGGAGGCAGAGGCAGGCAGATCTCTCTGAATTCAAGCTCAGCATGGTCTAGAACAAGTTCCAGGGTAGCCAGGACTACACAGAGACACCCTGTCTTGAAAAACAAACAAACAAATAAGCAAGCAAGCACTGCATTCCGTTGGGGGCTGAGGGCAGGCACTCTGGCTGGCCTCTTTCCCTCAAGTTCACTCCAACCAGGTAGTAAGAAATGAAGGCTAAGGAATAGCTTCTGAGAAGTCCAAGGACTGAGGGGAGGGACACAAGATAAAGCCAAACTCTGACTGCACAGGAACAGAAGGAAGATGAATATAGGTCACCAGTGTGCCACCTAGGCTACTTCACTGACACTACAACCAAGCCAGACTGCAGACAACGTGGGCAAAAGGCAGCTAACTGTGCAGAAGGTAGCTCCAACAATCCTCAAGTCCTAGGAACACAAGTGACTTAAAAGGACATGAGACAGCTTTGTGACACTCAACAGAATTAGCTGTAGCACCCCTGTGCTTCTGTGACTCTATTTCTAAAATCCTAATCATGGCTATAAAACAAAGGCTTAACTACTGAGCTGCTTGACTTAGGCATGTTTAAAACAGTTATATAAAAATAAAAAAAGAGTTGTTGAGATCACTCAGGGGTAAAGGTGCTTGACGTGCAACCCTAGTGGCCTGAATATGATCCCTGGGACCCATATAAAAATGGGAGGAGAGCGCTGGCTTCATATAAGTGTCCTCTGACCTCCATATGCATACCATGGTGTGCACATACACATATACAAACTAAATACAAAAGCCAAAAATTCAAAGAAAAGAAAATTAAAGATGTCAGTAACAATATAAGGGCTGGAGAGTTGGCTCAGTGGTTAAGAGCAATGACTACTCTTCCAGAGGTCACGAGTTCAATTCCCAGCAACCACTTGGTGGCTCACAGCCATCTGTAACAGGGTCTGAGGCCCTCTTCTGGTGTGTCTGAAGACAGCAACAGGACAGTGTACTCATATACATAAAATAAATAAATAAATTTAAAACAAATAAACAAAAACTCTCTTTCACAAGAGTTGTGGACTGTGGCAGAACCAACTACAACAGGCTAAGGAGAAAGTAACTACTTAATATATGCCATGCACTGGGCACCATAACAACTGCTTAGCACACATTGGATGGGTATTATAATCTCTCCAACACTGCTAGGTGGGTAGCGGTATCAGTGTCCCTATCTTACAGAAGTGGAAACTGAGTCAAAACAACTTAGGTAACATACAAGGCTACAAAGGACATGTGCAAGATGGACTCTCATATAACTCCCTGTGCTCTCACACAGTACCAGGGCCAGGAAGAGGGCTTCCCGCCAATCAATTCCACATGCCTCTGATACCATACAGCAAAACAACATAGTTGTCTAAGAACCAGTTTTGTGGGGATGGAAAGAAGGCTCAGCTGCTTTTCCAGGGCACCTGGGTTGGGATCCCAGCGCCCCAGTGGCCACTCACAAGGATCTGGGATTACAGGTGTGTGCCACCAGCTCTGGCCCATCATTAGAACTCTACAGACTTTACATAGTGACCTAAACCATCCTTAGGCCCATCGCCCCTGCACCATTACCCCTCTACGTCCTCCCCCGCCCCCCTCAGGACCAGTGTTCTCTAATGCTCACGTATAAAGAGGAGGGGAGCACTAGACAAAGGAGGAAAGAAGGGTCAAAAGGAAGCATAGAGTTGTAAAACCGTGCACTCCTGAGAATGTTCAGACAAGGCAACGACAGAAGCCTGGGAAGATACAAGTTCCAGAACTGTGACATGGCTTCAGTTTATTTCCATGTTAAACCCACATCTCTGGGTTCTCGGCATCCAGAGAACTAAAGCCGCATGTCTTACAGTATGTGGAAAATGTCCCTTGATCTGTCGTATTAAACTATAAGGACAGGAAAGAAATCACCCCCCTGTTTCAGTATTGACTAGCCTTGCCACCAGGCTACCACTACTCTGTTTGTGAACAGGGCCTGAGGCCACACAGCTAACACCCCAATATGAGGCTGAGGCAGGAGGGTCACAACTTCAAGTTACATAGAGAGTTAGAGGCCAGCCTAAACTACACAGTGGAACTGTCTTGTAAAAACTTCTATTTTGGCCGGGTGGTGGTGGCGCACGCCTTTAATCCCAGCACTTGGGATTTATCCATGGTTGCTTGAGACCAAACCCCACCCCCAACCCCTGTCTCCAGTATCCAGATTAAAACCAAAACACTACCTTTATTATACTATTAAGCCTTGGCAGTGTAGCACACACCTGTATCTCCGACCTACTGAGTCTGAATCAGGAAGAGCAGTGTTGAAGGGAAGTCTTGCCTACGTAGGGAAATCCTAGCCAGTCTGGGCTGCATTAAACCCTGTTTTGGATTCACGTAAGATTACAACAACGACCACTACTCCGTTTTGGGCTTGTGTAGATGAATGGCTCCCTCTCATCTTTTCTACACCCGGAGATCGCTTAACACACACACACACACACACACACGTGTGGAGGTAGGAGAGATGGCTAGGGGGTTTAAGAACAACACCTGCTATTCCAGAGGACCAGAATTAGGTTCTCAGCACCCACATCATCAGGCAGCTAACAATGGCGTGTAACTCTGGTTCTAGGGATACAACGCCCTCTTCTGGAATCGGTGGGTATTTGGACTCACGTGCACAAACAAGACACAAACACATCATTTTAAAACGAATTTCAAAACGGTCATTTTTTTTTCTAAAAATTGGACGCTAGCAGTTCCACCCAGCCTTATCCAGACGACCTAATAAGCCTTGACTCTGGGAGCAGGGCTCCGCAGGCCTCAGGCCTCGGGAGGATGGAGCAGGACGGGGCCAGCTAAATATAGAGAGGAGCGAAGCTGAGGTGGATGGAGGAGAGTGCACACCGACCCGACCGGCACGCCCGCGGGCCTGGGGTTCAGGGTCCGTGGCCCCGGGTCCCGGCCCACGCGCCCACGCGCCCACGCTCCCGACCCCGACCCTGTCTCCTACTCACCGCCCCACAGACCGGCGGCTCCACGGATGCCCGCGGCCTGGCCCTGTTCACACGCGGCGGCGCGCGGCGGGCCCCGGGCTGTCCCGCACCATCCTCTCCGCCGCTCCGGAGACAGCGAGCGGCTCCTTGGGGCCGAAGCGACGACCCGAAGACAGGCCAGAGCGCGCCAACGGGACGCCGGCCCCGCGCGCTGCGAACGCCGGGCTTTCCGGGTGAAGGCAGAAAACCACGTCACCACTAACGCCGCCGTGACCTCTGACCCCGCACGCGACGGCGGCGCGGCAGGGACAGAATTGCTCCGGGGCGAGCAGCGGGGAGCGAGGCAGGCTGTCTTCGTTTTACTAAAAGGCAAAGGTGTGGGAATATGAAACCGCCCGAAGTATATCACTTGCGTTCGCGGATTGCGGTGAGCTTGCTCAGCTCCGTCCCGAAGTACTTCTGCATGTCTTGGTGTGTATGGTGTGAGATAGTAAAAAGGACGCGATTTTCGTTTATTTTTGCTAGAGTTTTGTTTTGACACGGGGGTCTCGTGGATTGCAAGAGCTGGCTACGTGTTCTCTATAGAGCCCAATGAGGAGCAAACTATGCTGCCCTGCCTGACTTCGAGCAATTGTTGGAAAGGAATAATCTCAAAAGTGGGTGTGGTGGCGCACAACTATAATCCCAGCGCTCCGACGCTGAGGTTTTTTTTTTTTTTTTTAATAAACAAGTAAAGAAGAATCGCAGTGTCACACAAACACAGCAATGAAATGAAAGTCATCCCACAAGGCAATTCATTTTTGTAAAAAGGGGTGTACCATGACCCAAACTACGCTAGCAAGCGCACCAAAGCAGATGGTCTTAGTTTTTGCTCCAACTGCATGCCTGCCAATTGCTACCATACACCCCAGCCACCATGGAACCTAACCCTCAGGAACCATAAACTAAAACAATGTTTTCCATAAATTACCTTAATCATGGTGTTTAAGCACACGAATACAACCCTCCTTTTTGTAGACTGGACTCTAGTTTAGAATCCACTGGATGGGAGAGCTCTATCACCTCTCTGGACAACAGGGCTTTGTTAGTCCCACGTAAACCATACAGAAAACCCAAGGCAGTCACATCTGTGTCTGCATCTCTATGTACCATCCAAAGAATGAGCTAGCACTGGTATCCTTTTGGCTTTGAATAAGTGCAAGTAGCAGGTAGAAAAATGGCACAGTAAAATACACAGTAAAACATCATCAAATCGATATTTTATAACATCAAGCAGAACTCAGGTAAGGAAAGCCTTAAACCTAGGAGACTGGAGAAGCTATTGAGAGTTTTGTTTTGGTTTGGTTTTTTTTTTCTTTTGTTTTGTTTTAGGCAGAGGGTCTTCTGTATTACTCTTTATAATGAGCTGACTGCCAACAGTTATTATTGCTATTTTCACTTAGTACCTATAATCTAGCAAATATTGTAGTGGTTTGAATGAAAATGGCCCCCTTAGGTCCATATGCTTGAATTCTTGGTCCCTAGTTAGAGGAAACTGTTTGGGAAGGATTAAGAGGAGGCGTACCCTTGACGAATGAGGTGTGTCACTGGGGGTGATTTTTGAGGTTTTAGAAGTCCATGCCAGGCCCACTACCGTCTCTCCTTACTTGCTGCCTATAGATCAGGATGTAAAGCTCTCAGCTACTGCTCCAGCGTCATGCCTCTCTGCTTCCCACTATGGTGATCATGAATTGACCCTCTGAAACTGTAAGCAAGCCCCCAATTAAAGGCTTTCTTTTTAAAGAGATTTCCTGGTCATGGTATCTCTCCACAGCAACAGAACAGTAACTAAGATAAATATAGACCACAGAAAAACCGCTTAAAAGAGAGAGAGAAAAAAATCCAGAATGGGATGACATCACCCTGTTCTTTTTTGGTAGCCTGTCTATGTCACTGTCACCGGAAACTAATTCCCAGGATGCAAGGAAATCTGGAGACAGGGTAAATAACAAGCTTAGAATAAAAGGAGTCTTAAGAGGGGGAGAGAATATTCTATCTCTAAGAAAAACAGGCTTAGAGATAGTGGGGCCAAGGGAGTAGACGTTAGGACCCAGCCAAACCAAGCATGGTGGCTTATGGTGGGAGAATCTCTGGGGATCCAGAGTACGTCCAGTGCTGAGTTGTTATTAGAAGCAATTGCATACAAAGACACTGCCCATCAAACCACGATGGAAATCGACTTATGAGGAAATGGAATGTTTAATTGATTATTATCAGGGAGAACAAAGATACGGAAGTACAGGAAGAAAAACACATGGAAACAGAGAAGCCTGTTCATTTTACCAAAAAGGTCATCTGTTGTAAAGATCTGTCCTTAGAGTATCAAAGGTCAGAGTGTTCTTACACATGTTTCCTTCACAGATGAGGCTATATAACATAGAAACAGAAAAACTGGAAGACACAGCACGTTACATCTTCCTTGAGCTAGAAAGCCTGCTGGAGAGGCTACTTCCTTCTGTCCCGTGCCAAGGGGTCAGGGTGCTCTTAAGATGCAGAATGTTTCTTCCTCAGACAAGGCTGTTGGCAAAAGGAAAGGATTTCTTGCATGTAATATCCAACCCAAGTTCAACTCCCATGTAATGGAGGTTCTTTACACTCCGAATTCAAACACTTTGTCCATCGTACCCTGATTCCATCTCTGGATGGTGTCCTTTGTTAGGTCCTTTTTACAAACAGGCAGGTTGGAACAATCCCCCAATCAGAACTGCCAGAAAGCTGTGTGAGGTCACCATGGATACCTGTGGAGCTATGGAGCCAGACCCTGCATTCACTTCAAGCTAGCAGCATGTTTCACCCTCCTCCAACCTCCAGAATAACGCAAGCACCATCAGGCATTGTATTATTTTTTAAGTTTTATTTATTTTATGAATATGAGTATACTATCTTCAGACACACATCGAATACGGCATCAGACCCCCATTACAGATGGTTGTGAGCCACCATGTGGTTGCTGGGAATTGAACTCAGGACCTCTGGAAGAGCAGCCAGTGCTCTTAACCACTGAGCCATCTCTCCGGCCCTATTATTGTTATTTAATCTTTTTTTACAGTCCAGTCATTATCCCCCTCCCGGTCTGCTCTCCGACAGTTCCTCATCCCATCCCTCCTCTCCCATCTCCAAGAGGATGTCCCCACCCACACCCCATCACAAATTTTTTTTAACCTTCATCTGTGCACGCAATTTCCGTGGATACCCTGGTATTTTCTGCTTTGCATGCCTTTAATCCCAGCACTCTGGAGACAAAGGCAGGCAAAGATCTCTATGAGTTCAAGGATAGCCTCACTCTGGAGTGAGTTTCAGGATAGCCACAGTCTGAAAAACACAAAACCAAACCAACCAAGCAAAAAACAAGATGATGTATGGAATACTGACTGGCCTTCAGCATGCTAACTACCTTTGCTAGGGGCAGGGGAACTGCTCACAATTCCATTACACGTTTTTTCTTTAAACCTGACCAGCATATACAGACTTTCTAAGTTTTATAAACAGTAAGTCATTATTAAGTTAAGTGACTGGGACTATTTTAGGAAAGTGGTCTCAATGAGCCTCTGGAAGAGAGCCCTAAGACAAAGAATTCATACCTCCGCATCTCTCTTTAGCGTGGCTTAAGGTAAGCCTGCCTTCTGAGGGGTAGTCCCTTGGCCAGCAAATTCACCAGGCTACCAGGCTAGTTTGGAATGTTAGGTCCACCCAGGCTGGAGATTATGTTCTCTAAACCAAAAGTTTTCTCTTTCCTCCTCCTCTTTCTCCTCTTCCTCCTCCTCCTCCTCCTTCTCTTTTTAGGTTTTTCGAGACAGGGTTTCTCTGTGTAGCCCTGGCTGTCCTGGAACTCACTCTGTAGACCAGGCTGGCCTTGAACTCAGAAATCCACCTGCCTCTAGGAGTTTTCTCTGAACAAACCTCACCTACTATTATAATTTTTTCTCCTCTTTAGCTAACCTGCTATGAGTGACTATCCTTGGAGCCAAGCAACTCGCCATGTTTGAATATTCGGTTATGCCCTATACTGGTGAAACAAAACCCCAGATGGGTTTGTCGAGAGTTTACACCCCACCCTAACACCCTCCTTCCCTCCCTCCCTCCCTCCCTCCCTCCCTCTCTCCCTCCCTTCCTCCCTCCCTCTCCCCCCCACACACACACCAGGGAAGAACAGAGAGTACAGCATCCAGCTCAGCTGGTACTTGACTTTGATCAGGAAAAATGAGGGAATGAACAGAGGATCAATGCCATTACCGAAAAGCTGGAGTCAGCTGGCACACACACATATGCATCCACACACATGCACACACCAGGGAAGAACAGAGCCAAGCAGCATTCATTGTAGCTGGGGCTTGGCTAAGAACAAGCAGGCAAGGGAGAAAAGGTAAGATGTGTGAACAAAAAAGCTGAAGTCAGGCGAGCTGTGGGCACTCTGATGAAGTGGTCCCAACTACAGCCACAACTCAGGACCTCAGCACCTTTCTTGTGGACAGAAGAGGAGGCAACATTAGCTAGTCTCGGATGTCTATAGTCAAGCAGTCTTCAGCTGTAAACATCTGGGAGAATGATGCTGAGCCTTTTGCACACACTAACCAGTCCTTCACAAGTACTTATATTTGCACACACTGTCCACATTCACACTCAAGGGAAGGCTTTGCCAAATTCCCATCATCTGCTATGTACACATTTCAATCGGGGCTTTTTTCAGTTCCTCACAGGCGGTGGTGAGTTGGGGCTATATATCTTTGTGGTTATGGAAGCCCTCATCCCTGCTGGACAAGGCTTTCCAGGTGTGGCCAGTGAGCAGAGGCATGTCCACACCCTGTAACTAACCCCTCACCTTCCTGGAAGGAAGCCCACTAAGTTCACTGGCAACACGGGACTTTGGTGGAATTGTGCCTTGGCTTATCATTGAGACCTTAGAGGTAGACAGAGCTTAACCCTCGAAACATTGAAGAACCATATCAAAGATCAGAGTCCCAAACAATTTGGCATCTCTGGCCCCTGGGAAGGCTGCTGCTGCCAAGGGCTTTTAGTCAAGAGAGCAACTGGTTACTCATCTTTTGGATCTTTTTGCCCTAAGCTGCCTAGTCAAATCTTAACCCGTTTTCACCCCTACCCCTTCCTGAAGAGGTAACCCTAACAGTTATTATGGAATTGGGGCAGTGAACATCCTGGCTTTTTTCTAGCTCAGTAGGAGAAGTGGATGTGACCATTGGGGTACCTCTTCAGTGGACCTACCTAGAAGATTCCCCCAAAAGTGCTCTAATAGTTCTAGTCATGTAGCAGCCAGGTGCAGAGAGGGAAGGAAGTCTTTGGTCCCTGCCAAGAGAGATGGGGGTAGGGGTGGGGGGATAACAGCAGTGTGACATGTCCACACAGGCTCACACCACTGGGAATAACAGCAGTGTGACATCTCCACCCGTGTACACACAGGCTCATGTGTGTGATCACTGTTCCCTGGCTGATGGTGATGGGTCACTTTGCCGATTTCAGGTCAGCGGTTAGCATCCCAGCAGCTGCCTTCTGGCCTGACAACATGTAAGGAGTTCCATTCTATGTTTCAGTTGCCATGACAAAATGAGATGATCTGAACCAGGAAGCCAGGATAAACCTTCCCTCCCGTGAGCTGTTACGTTGAGTCTTCTGTCCCAGCAACATAAAACTAATGACCAGACTTCAACCGCTGTCTTTTAAAGCCCCCAACCATTATCACAGCAACAAAATACTAGTAACTATATGTACTCTTCTTGTAGTGAGGAACCATATATCAACCTACTTGGAAGAAGGATGGATCATGAAATTTTATTGATATAGACATCCTTTCTAACACTTGATTCAAGTCACATTCACAGTACATAAATAAATACCACATTTTCTTTTTTGTTTTTTTTGAGACAGAGTTTCTTTAAAAAAAAAAAAATCTGTCCTGTGTAGTCCTAGCTGTCCTGGAACTCACTCTGGAGACCAAGCTGGCCTCTGCCACTTGCCTCTGCCTCCGAGTGCTAGGATTAATGGCATGCGCCATCGTGCCCAGCAATACTACACTTTCTTGTTCAGAAAACAGAATCCCTGGCCACTGTCCTGATGCCAAACTATTAAGCCTCTACATGAGGCATGAGACTATTTGTCAAGCACTAGACCAGGGACATATCTGTAGAAACTCAGTGAGCAAGAAACTCACAAGTCAGCTTTCATGAGAAGCTGATGGGCTTTTCTGTTGTTTTTTGATGTTGTTATTTTGGTTTTTTGATTTTAGGTGTTATGTAGCCCAGGTTGGCCTAGAACTTCTAATATAACCAGGGCTGACTCTGAACTATTTTTCTCTGTTTACACAGTGCTGAGGTTCAAACCTTGAACTCTTGTTCCTCTGCCTGTACCCTGCCAGTTTTGACACAATTATTCTACTTAACATCATACAGCTAAAAGAATTGAATGTTTCCAGGAAAATTTAGACTACATGGACCTGGAGTAGCACCTAAAAAGTAGAGAAAATAAAGAAAAGTATGCTAGCTACTGTAATCACCTGGGCTCATGTTATTCTGAAAGAAGATCCTCATGGGTTATACATGGGTGTGGAAGCCAGAGATCAACCTTGAATTGGTTCCTCTGGCCAAATGCTACTCACCTTGTTTTTTGAAGATAGATGGTTTCTCTCACTCACCTGGAACTCTCCAAGCAGACAAGGCTGGGTGGCCAGTGAGCCCCGAGACCCTCCTGCCTCCATTTCCTCAGAGCTGAGATTGCAAGGATATACCACCACACCAGGATTTTAACATGGGTTCTGGGGATTAAATCCAGGGTCTCATACTTGCAAAGCTTTGTTATTTTACCTACTGAGCCATCTCCTCAACCAATTCACTGGCACCTATCATTCACTGCTGTCTGGGTGAACTTGGGGAACAGTGGATTCAACTGCTCTACGTCTTTAGTGACTGTTGATGTGTCGAACTTGGTATATTTAATGTCAGCTTAAATAAAGCATTAAAGTTTTCTATTTCACGCTGGAGAGATGGCTCAACAGCTAACAGTGCATACTGTTCTTGCAGAGGACCTGAGTTTGGTTCTCAGCAACCTTATCAGCTCACTACAGCTGCCTGTAACTCTGGGTCTAGGGGGTCTGATGCCCTCTACTGGCCCCTAAAAGTACCTGCACTCACATATGCACACACACAGAGACATACACATAATTAAAAACAAAATAAATACTTTTTAAAAGTTACATTCTTGTCCTACTTTTATTCCAAAATTATTATACTGCATATTTGTAGTAAACATTTAGGAAAATATGTTGGGAAAGGAAGAAAGCCTTTCTCAGCTACTCGAATGCCATGACACTGTTGAAGACCAGTGTCCTGAGGAACTCCTAATTTCACAAAGATGCTGATAACTATGTGGAAGAGTCACCCATCTGTGGTATAATCTGGTTGTAAGAAGTTCCACAGGGATCAGAGAAGATTCCCCACTGTAGGGCCTCGTGGAGGGAGGCATCAAGTAACATTACATAATCAATGCAATAGTCTTTGGTTATAGCATATTAATTAACAGGTTCATAACCCCTGGCTGCCAAGAGACCGCTGATTTTTAGTATAGGCTAGTTCTGTCCCCCGGAGACACTGGATAATGTCCAGAGACAGGCTTATTTTTTCTTTCTTTCTTTTGAGACAGGATCTCTACAGCCCAGGCTTACCTCAAACTCACTGTGTATGATGATCTGAACTCCTGATCCTCCTGCCTCCACCTCCCGAGTACCAGGATTATAAGCACATGCCACCACACATGAATGGAGACCATTTTCCCACAAACATGGAAGGCTGCTAGCATCTACTGGGTACAGAAAGCAAAAATCCTATTTAATATCCCACAATGTACAAGGCAGTCTTGCCATAACAAGAAAATCTTAGGCCACAATTGTCAATTCTGAGGTTGAAGGTTCTGAGAGATGTCTATAACCTGTTGATTCTGTTACCTGTTGATTGAGCTAAAGCAGACAATGAAGAGCATAAGGCACCCACTTGCTTCACACTTTGACAAGTTCCCTGTCAACTCCCATGAGCCTCATTTATTCGTTCCAACTTCCATCCAAGACCATGTCTTGGTATCACAGAATTTGGTGATGATTTGTCTGAATGAGCTGAGTGTAATGGTACAAATCCATAAATCCCACCATCAGGAGGTGGAGGTAGGAGGATCACCAGCTTGACGATAGCCTGGGTTACATAGCAACAGCCTGTCTCAAAAGACCCAGGAACAAAACAAAACCAATCAAATCAAAACGGCACTGTGGGTGACGTTTATTGGATGAATAAGGGAAAGGAAGCTACAAGCACAGTTCAAAGTCAACCGTACTAATTAGCAACTCCATGTGTTCATGTGTGTGTGTGGTACACGTGTGTAGAGGTACACAGGCACATATGTGGGCATGTGGAGGCCAGAGGTCAGCCTTGCCTGTCATTGCTCAGGAGCTGTCCATCTTGGTTTGTTTGCTTACACGGGGTCTCTCACTGTCAACAAGCTCCCCCACCCCGGAACCTTCCTGTCTCTGCCTCCCAGTAGTGCTGTTTCATGTGCGTGTCACCACGCCTGGCTTTTCACGTGTGGGCTGGACAGGGAGCTCGGGTTCCCACACTGGTGTGGAAAGCACTTTACTGACTGAGCCACCTCCCCAGGGTTCCAGAACAATATCTTATATGACCTAAAAGTTGGTGTCACAACTTCATAATATGGACCAAAAAGAACCTCAGAGTTAGGGCAGTTAGTGCTAAAGTCCTGTTAAAGCTCAAATGTTTTAGATTATTTTTAGTGGGACAAACCAAAGAAAATGGTACTAAAGGCAAACATTCAACATATTTCATTTTTACCTAAAAAAAAAAAAAAATCAGCTCCTGAAATGCCATGCTCGAGACACCACCCCTCCCCGGCCCTATTTTTTTTTTTTACATATTTACAATTTTACATATTTACTTATCAACATTATCTTCTATCTTTACAATTACAAAATTATTTCACACTGGGAGAGTGTGCAAACATAGAACTCATTTCAACATAGACTTTATAGCATCTGTTTTATCCTTTAAAAGGCAGTGTTTGCCCAAAACCAACAACAATGTCTACCACAGAGGAAGCCCATGGGAAAATCGGGGCGGACATAAAAGAGTAACATAGAATTCACACAAACCTACTCCACCAACTCAAATAAATAGTACATTATTATTTTCTAAGCTTCCCCTGCTAGGAAAAAAGAACAATCCCTAAATCTGTACTTTAAAAATACTTTGACATTTTAAGCAGTTAATTCATATTCCAGACCTGAAGAGCGGAACTCAGTAGCTCCCTGAAATCAGCCCCAAATGAACATGGCCGCGAGCGAGCCATCACCCTGCGTACACCTGAGGCTGCAGTGGGGGAGGGAGCTTGTCGTTCTCCACATTCTCAGAGTCGATGGCTGCTAAGGGTTGGTTCGGGGGCTTAATCTCAAGTGGGTATTTCTCAACAATGTCTTGAACTTCCTTGGCAATCCCGTCTGTCCAGTCTATTAAGTCTTTTTCAAGTTTCTTGGCTTCGTTCATGATCCTTTCTTGCCGTTCATTCAACTGAGACAAGAGGTCCAAGTTCTTATACATTTGCTTCACACCTAAGCAGGCCTCCGGGGACCAGCTCTCAGACTCTTGCTTCCTGGGGGACGTCTGGCCAGACATGTACCGGTCAAAATCCTCCTGACTTAAATTCAAAGACTGGGCGTCTAATTTCTCAATGAAAGCCACGGCACAGCACTGCAGAGAAAAAAGAACAGCATGGCAGTCAGGCAGAAGGGCTGCAAGGACTCACCCTCTCACCATTCTGAGTTCTGGGGACTGAACACAGAGCCTCGGGAATGCTAGGCAAGTGCTCTGCCACTAGCCAGATATCCTCTGCCCTGTCTCAGAAATAACTATAGCCCAGGCTAGCCCTAAACTATGTAGCCAAGAATGATCTTGAAATACTAATCTTCTGGGTCCTTGTACCTCTGTGTCTAGAGTCCTGAGACTGTAGGCATGGCACCCGGCCTGGCTGTCTCTTTTTAAGACAGGGACTCACTATGTAACCCAGCCCTTTGATCTGCCCAGCCCATCCTCTCTGCTGCTGCTATGCACTGGCATGCCCAGTTTTCTGGACACTTGATTTCCCCTTTGTTCCAGAATCTTCCACAGGATCACAGCTCCACTTCCCTGTTCCTCCGCAGACTGTGCTCTCTGCTCTCCATGCTGCCTTCTATATCCTCCCTCCCAGCTCCTGAGTCCCTGCTGTCTCCCACCTATGAGCACCGAAGGTCTGTTACCTGCCTTAAACTCACCCTGAGCGCCTGTTATTACATGTAAAACGTGTATTCAAAACCAAAACAGCTTCTACACCTAGCGAACTCTCCTTTCCACAGATCCCTTATTGGTGTCTGGGGCAATGCTGACCCGCCACTGGAACACGTCAGCAGCCCCGGTATCAGTGGACTCCTCCTTGCAGCTGATCGTGTGGGGCTGCAGTGATGCTGATGCCAAGCAAGCAACAGGAGCCAGGACATGTGCACAGACTGGTCCTGGTCACCTCCACTCTGAGAGACACGCAGCCTTAGGAGCTCTAAGCTGCCTCCCTCAGGCAAATCCCCTCCTGGGTCTTCTCCCTGCCTCCGGGAGTCACATCTTACCAGGTTGGTGAAGTAGTAGCCATCCTCGCCCGTCATGAGCCGGCTGGGGTTGCAGAAGCGAGTGATGTACTGGATGTTGGACTGCAGACGAGGGGGGTTGCCCTTCAGGACGATGTAGATAAGGGTGGGCAGGAAGTCATCGGCGGAGGCTGGCTCATTCTTGGTGATCTTGATGGCATTGAAGATGTGCTTGCTGCACCTGGTGATGCAGGCCAGCTTGTCCCGAGGCACACGCTTCGAGTCCATCTCAATGATGTCTGTGGAGAGGAGGCATGGCACTCCATGAGGCAGTTACCACACAAGTAGCAATTGGCGGGAGCAATGGGCTGAACTCTTTCCTTCAGGACCCAGAGGTGTCTCCATCACCCAGCACCTCAACAGTTAACTTAGTACAGGAAGTAGATCCCCAAAGCATCATCGGTCTCAAACATGGGTCACTGAGTGTCAGGGACTACCTGACTACCCAGGATCAAGTAGCGAGCAGAAGGCAGACTGGGAATGACACCAGTTTGCACAAGAAGCTGTGGAGAAGCACCCCTAAGCCCCATGGAAAAGGAGAACACGGCTTTAAAAGTATCTCACATTTCTTATTGTTTACTTGCTTTTTGTTGTTTGTATTTTTTCAACTAGAGCTTATATTTACAGCCCAGGCTTACCCCAATTTCCTTATGAAGGAAGAATGACCTGGACCTTCCAAGTGCTGAGATGGTGGGTGTGCACCAGCACACCCAGTTAATCCAGTACTGGATGGAACACCGGGCTCTGTAGGCTGAGCCCCATGCCCAGTCTCTCACACAGCTCTATGCTCAGTTTATAACGTCTTCACTGTGCACACTGCTTCTCGAAGAGGGTCAGGCTTCAGACAAGCCCTCTCTCAGACAGAAAAGCAGAAGAGTGGACTTGAGTGGAAAAGAGTAGTAGCAGTCACTGTCGGCTCTAGCTGTTTGACCTTGGTTTATCTCAATGACCAGAGGATGACACTTTGGGCCAGCAAGGTGCCTTGGTATGTAACAATACTGTGGTGCCTGACAGCCTATGAGTTCGATCCCCATGAAACACACTGTGGGAGAGAACTGACTCCCACAATTTGTTCTTTGCCCTCACACTCAAGATGTAGTATGCAGCCCCAAAGAAAGACAGAAAGACGGGAGGTGGGGAGGATTTATTAAAGAAAATATCAGAAGAATGAGACCAGAGAAATGGCTCAACAGGTAAGAGTACTGGCTCCTCTTCCAGAGGAGCAAGGTTCAGTTCTCAGCACCTCCATGGCAGCTCACAACTGTCTGTAACTCCAGTCCCACAGACATACCTTTCAACCAATCAATATTTTTTTTAAATATCAAAAGCATCTCAAGTGAAAAGAGAGAACTCCATCACAAAACAAGGAGAGGGAAAGGAGCTTACTTGCTGCAGTGTGTAGCACCCAGCACTGCAGTGAGTAGCACCCAGCACTGCAGTGTGTAGCACCCAGCACTGCAGTGAGTAGCACCCAGCACTCAGGGAGCAGAGGCTGAGCCAGCTGGTCCTCCATAACAAGTTCCAGGCTAGCCAGGGTTACATAATGAGATCCTATCTTAAATGAATGAGCAAAAGAAAGAAAGAGGGAGAGAGGGGAGGAGGAATGGAGGGTATACATTTAAAGGCCTTTCTGTGCGTTATACTGCAGTATCACGGTAAGCTATAGAGAACATTCAGATGTAAAGCTCACAGCCACACTGACCTGTGATCGCTTTCACCACCATGTCGGACACTTCAGGGATTTCCTCATTGACAGGGACACAGAGCATCTGAGGTGTCACCCAGTGCAGAGCCCTGCAGAGAAAGGGATGGCCAGGAAGAAGTCTGAGAACGGAGGGTAGACTCTAATCTTGCTGTTCCTCCAACCAAAACAAGGGTAGCACTGACTTACTAGGCAATCCCAAGTTCAAGCACAGGACTCCTGTCTATCTAAGATTAACAGACACAAGAAAGTAAAACCCTGAATGCCACATGCTTCTGTGCCTCTCACAGCAGAGGACAGAGGGCAGAGTGTCCTGGCCCAAAGGAGATTCTGCTGTGAAGGCTGAGAACCTGTGCTTGCTGTCCTCACAGTCCAGAGCTGGTCCTGCACTGTAACACCCTGCCTTCCACATCCTAGAGCCCCTGAACAGGAAGACCTATGTCCTCACAACCTAAGTCTCAAAAAAAAAAAAAATAGGGGAAAGGGGGCTGGAGAGATGGCTCAAAACTTCATAGCCCTGTCTATTCTTGCACAGGACCTGGGTTCCGTTCCCAGCACCCACATGGGAGGCTCACAACCATCTGTAACTCTGGACTCAAGGGACCCAATGCTTCTTCTGACCTCCATAGGTTCCCGTATGCATGTGGCACACATAACATAAACTCAGGGACATTCATGTACACATGAAGTACGTTTTTAAAGGAGGAAGAGGAAAGGCTTCCTGATCCACAGCCATAGGGAGCCCCAGCTCTATGTTCCTGCCATAGCTCTGCCTTCTCCACCACGATGGGTATTCCCTCCTAAACCACAGCCAAAACAATTCCTTCGCTTCAATTATCCCTGTCAAGTATTTTCCAACAACAGTGGAAAGTTAACTAGCACAGGTAGCTTGTTTCTAAATGTTCCACTGCTGCTGAACTGCAGAGTCTGGGTCCAGCCCTTGAGCTCCCTGAGAATGGGTCAGTAATCGTCACCAGTTCAGATGGCCAAAGCTGTGCTACAGAGGAGGAAAGACATCCTCCACCACCTGGAGACTGACAGTCACAGTTTCCCGCCTTACAAGATGGCACAAAGAAACAAGAAATCAAGTCCTTGTGCTCCTTGAAACTTTTAGGGATCTAGAATGATCTCACATATCCAACAAGGGTCCTATCTCCAGACAGACAGAAAAGCGGGTTATCATAAGCCTGGCTGAGAGGCTCACACTGGTACTGCTCAAGACTGGAAGCTTACACGCACTGTTAGCCACATGCTATCACTCCATCCGAGACAGTAGATAAAGCAGACGCTGTGATCACCTGATCCTCTTTTGAATGGCGAGATCTTTCTTCTCATCATCAGTAGTCTCTGGGCAGAACACAAATTTATAGAGACGGGTCATGATGTGCTTTTCGATCTGATCCATTATCTTCTCCACTTTCTCTGGAGGCACTGGAAGACACAAACGGGTAAGCAGCTCAGGAGAAGGATTTCAACTCAAGACTATACTTTCGTAGTATTTTCTATACAGAAAAATAAATGCTATAAACACACCAGTAAAGAAACTTTAAAAATCCTCTTTGAAAATTCATGACTCTCTGGGCTGGGGATGTACCCCAGTTGACGGAGGTTTGGCCTAGAATGCAAGAAGCCCTGGGATCCACTCCCAGCACTGTATAAAGCAGGCATGGTGGTGCATGTCTGAGGAGGATCAGGAACACGAGGTCATCCTTGTCTATCATCAAGTTAGAGGCCAGCCTGAGCTATGTGAGACTCTGTCTCAAGAAAACAACCAAAGAAATTACAACTTTCTAAACTACATCATACAGAATTCCCTCCTACTTGCTAAACTGGTTCACTGGAACCTAACAGGTATATGTCCTGCCAAGTAGGAAGACTTCTGTGGGCCCCTCTCTATTGCTACACTGGTAAACCACTTGCAATTCCCAAGGCTGCCAAGTGCTGGCACATCTCCTTTCTTCTGCGGTTTCCCACAAAGCCACCATGTTCTCTCTGAAGCATGCAGGTGGACATGAAGCAATTGAAATGCGCCCTCAAGTATAGTGTCAATAGAAGGCCAGAGAATCTCTACAAAGCAAACCCAAAGCTTTAAGTTGGTGAGTCTCAATTTCTTTCTGTTCCAACTTTTTTAGGTTTACGTCATCATGAACAATGACTCACCTAATGGCAATGCCAAGGTGGGGATTCACACAGAAAACTACCTGAGCATCTCTGCTCTTCCCACTTTACTTACAATGTAGGAATTCTATTACTCAGCATTACCCATTGCCCCAGGCATACACAGGGAGGCATTCAAGGGCACTGCCAGGTATGAGACAGATGCCAATATCAGCACAGTACTTTTCACCAGCCAGGCCAATCTGAGGAGGTGAGGGCAGCTACCCTGAGCTATGACCAGCTGCTCCACAACAGCTGGCTGACAACATATTACCTTTCCCACGGGTCTGCAATCTCTCAGCCACATTCTGGTAAAAGTCCTGCGTACACTCTGACTGTTCCTCGATGCTTAAATCCTGCAATCAACAGACCATAGGTTGGTGAGCAGCTGAAAAGTTTGAGAACACCAAATCTGAACAAGTCTCTAAAACACACTCCTTGCATTAAGCTGACTCTAAAAGAACTTACAAATATCACACATATTCTGCAAGAAACAGAACTCGACCACGGATGATCTTTACACACCACTGCATGTACACACAATCTGTGCACACTTACTGACTTCATGTGCATCATCACCCCCGCTATTACAATTTATCACTATCACTACTGCTGTTGGTGATTTCTCCATGACAGGGTCTTACTGTGTAGGCTGGACTTCTGTTTAGAATTCAACAGTTGTAATATGTAGGTTTCAGATCCCTTTTGAGTTGGTTTTTAAAAATATTCATTTATTTTTTCACTTTAAAAAATGTTGAGCCGGGCGGTGGTGGCACACGCCTTTAATCCCAGCACTTGGGAGGCAGAGGCAGGCGGATTTCTGAGTTCGAGGCCAGCCTGATCTACAGAGTGAGTTCCAGGACAGCCAGATATACACAGAGAAACCCTGTCTCGAAAAACCAAAAAGTTGAATGCCCTCTAGTATTCATGGAGAAGGTACAGCAAACGGACCAAGGCACTTTGGCATTTGATCCTAGACCTGTCAATGTGCTGTAGCAGGAACATTTGAATTGCTTTCCAGTCATTACTTTGAAATACACCATTAAGAGTCAACAACCATAGTTTTCCTACTATGCTTAAGAACATCAGATAGGCTGGAGAGATGTCAGAGGTTAAGAGTACCTGCTGCTCTTCCAGAGGATTAAGTTCTAGCATAGACATCAGGTGACTCACAACAGCCTAGAGCTACAGCTTCTGAGTCCCCAAACCTCTGCTGACACGATGGGCATCTGCACGCATATACACATACTGACATGCAGATACGTGTGCACGCATGCGCGCGCACACACACACCCACACCCCATTTGAGGTTTAACCTATCTAGTGCACCCTTGTACCTGGCTGGCCCTCCTTTCCTCCCCTCTGCCTTTTGCCCAGCACCTGGAGGCCCTGTTCTGCATTCTACTCCCACGATGTTATTGCTTCTAATTTTAGAACTAAGTCTGTGCTACTTCCTCCCAACTTCCTCAAGAATTAAAGCTTGTTTTGATGAGTCTCTTCCTTTTAGCCATATCCGACTGGTTTCTAACAGTAACCAGATAGGTCAAACTACTTTTTGGTTTAGAACAGTAAAGAGGCCGCTGGCAATGTAGCTCAATGGGTACAGTGTTCCAGCACAGTGTAAACCAGTGCTGTATCCGTGTGACTAAGCACTTGGAGGGAGAGGCAGGAGAATCAATCAGGAGTTCACGGCCAGCATAGGCTACAGGAGACCTCGTCTCAAAAATACATAAATACATACGATAAGGTACAGGAGGGCCCTCATCTTTCTATTATTCCCAGAAAGTGTGGGTGAAAATGAAGACATATTTCACACTATAATCTCTTCACCTAAACATGGAAAAATACCTTTTCCATAAGTGTCAACACAGGGCAAACTGTAAGTTAACACAAAATAACCAGTAACAACTGTTTCTATTTTATTCATTTGTTTAATTTTATGTGCATTGGTGTTTTGCCTACCTGTCTATGGAGGGTGCCAGAAGCCCTGGAATGGGGGTTACAGACAGTGGTGAGTTGCCATGTGGGTGCTGGGAACTGAACACAGGAGCTCTGGAAGAGCAGCCAGTGCTCTTAACCACTGAGCCATCTCTTTAGCTCCTTGCTTTTTTATTGCTATTGTTTTGTTTGCTTGTTTTTTGAGTCAGGGTCTCTCTACGTAGCCCAATCTGTCCTAGAACTCCCTCCCTGTGTACACCAGGCTGGGCTAGAACTTAAAAAACCACCCTCCTCTGCCTTCTAAGTGCTGAGATTAAAGGTGGGAGGCACCATGCAAGGCAGTAGCAAATCTTAATAGACAGACTCTCCAAGAAACAAAACAAAAAGCAACGAAATGACCAAAAGATCCTGTATTGTTCCTGAGCACCTCCTTAGGAGACGGGGATCACATGGGAGCTGCTCACACACATGTGTGCCCACCACACACCACATGCATGCATGATGCTCTCAGAAGCAGGGACGTATCAGGTTCACCAAGCCAAGGGTGCTGAGAACTGAGCCTGGGTCCTCTCCAGCTCTCCAGCCCTGTGGAAATTCGTGTGTTAAAACCCGAATTCGGGTTTAGAGATGGCTCAATGGTTAGGAGCACTGGCTGCCCACCGCCTCACAGGATAGTCCAGGTCAGCCTCTAACCCACTGCTATCTGCCTCACAAGTGCTGAGATGAAAGCCACACGCCACCATACCCAGCGTATGACTTTTAGTTTTGAGACAGGCTCTCATTATTTTGTCCAAATCAGTCTCAAATTTGTGGGCATAAGTAATCCTCCCTCCTCAGCCTCCCCAGTGCTTAAAGTATAGGCTTACATCAACACACCCAACCTAATAGCATGTTTTAAACATGTTTTCATAGAAACAGACTTGAAGAAAACAATTCTTCAACAACCCATGGACCTCATTAAATCAGATAACAGGGTTCTGAGGTGATTGTCCTTCTGCATCTCTTCTGCACTTTTTTCTTGTTGAGATAAGGTCTCACGATGTAGCTCTGCTGGCCTCCAACTCAGAGATGTAGTCCACTTGCCTCTGTCTCTTGAGTGCACAGATTAAAGACCTGCGCCACAATGCCCACTTTCACCATACTTTAAAATTACTCTTGAAGGGCTAGAGTGATGACTCAGCAGTTAAGAGCATTTGCTGCTCTTCCAGAGGACCCCGGTTCAATTCCCAGCACCCACACAGCAGCTCACAGCTGTCTCCAACCCCAGTTTCAGAGAATCCAATGCCCTCTTCTGACCTCAGTCGGCCGTGCAAACACTAAGTACACAGATACACATGCAGGCAAAATATCTATATACATAAAATAATAAATAAAATTAAAATAATTTGAGAAAATTTAAATTACTCTTGAGACATGAGGCTATGTTCAGAGGACAAAGGAAACCTACAGATAGTACACTACCCAGGTGACCACATTTACCCTTGAGCCCACACATTATCCACCCACTACAGCTTAAGTCTTACAGGAAGATAATTTTTCCTTGTTTCTGCTTTTCTTTGACATAGGGTTTCTATGTGTGGTCCTGGCTGTCCTGGAACGCACTCTAGGCTGGCCTCAAACTCAGGAGTCTGTCTCTGCCTGCCAAGTACTGGGGTTAAAGGTTGTACTACCACACCTGGCTATGTTTTGCTTTACTTTTTATTATGTATACAAATGTGTGTGTAGGGGTATGTACACAGGTGCAGAGGTCAGCAGAGGACCCTCTATCCTCTGGAGCTACCCTTACCAGAAGCTGTGCACTCCCCAACAGTGGGTGTGGTAAAACTTATAGATCCTCAGAATGAGTAGAACCAGCTTACTCTTAGCTGCTGAGCCATGTCTAGATAACCTTTTATAAGATTCTTTTATATAAGTTACTATGCCTTATAAATTCTAGCTTCTTTTTTCCTTTTTAAATTCAGGTGCTGGAGGCTGAACTCAGAACATTGTCCATAAAGCCACACAAAGCCACTCTGCCCTTTTTCTCTTCTCTATCCCCCCAACCCCTTTTCTCTCAGAAGTTAGTTGGTTTTGAGGGATTTGATTCTTTTTCTTTTCTTTTTTCACTTTTTTGAGACAGTTTCTCTGTGTATCCTTGCCTGTCCTAGAACTCCCTCTAAAGACCAGGCTAGCCAGGAGCTTGAGAGATCCGCCTGTCTGTGCATCCTGAGGGTTCTGGGACTGAACCTAGGACCTGCTGTGTGCTAAGCAAGCTGTATTCCTGGACTACCTCCTCTGTTTTCTTAGCTTTAGAATCTTTTGTTTGTTTGTTTGTTTGTTTGTTTGTTTTTGTTTTTGTTTTTCGAGACAGGGTTTCTCTGTATAGCCTTGGCTGTTCTGGAACTCACTCTGTAGACCAGGCTGGTCTCGAACTCAGAAATCCACCTGCCTCTGCCTCCCAAGTGCTGGGATTAAAGGCGTGCACCACCAGTACCCGGCTTTGTTGCTGTTTTTTTAAGACAGAGTTGTACTCTGTAGCTCAGGCTGACTTGGAACTCACTATGTAGTTCATTCATGCTGGCTTCAAGCTTGATGATCCTGTCCTAGCTCTCCCAATCCCGGAAGATTACAGCAGTGATTCATGCAAGGATGCTATGTTAATCATGTGCCTGCTCTTCTCATTACAGTGGAAATATACCATTGTAAAGACTATGACAAGGTTCAGGAACACATTAAATCCGGTAGCTAATCACAGAGCCAGATGTGGTGGGACATAGTTAGAACCTTGGTCAGTATTCAGGGGATTACAAGTTCAAGGCCCACGTGAACTATATAGTGAGACCCTACCTCAAATGAAAGAGAACCCAGTAGGTGATAATATAATTAAAAATAAAAAAGGTGTTTGCTGGAAAGACAGCTCTGAGGTTAAGAATACTTGCTGTACTTGAAGAGGGGTGGAGTTCTGTTCCCAGCACCCACATGGCAGCTCATAACTGCCTGTAATTCCTGCGCTGGGAGATTCAACACTCTCTTCTAGCCTTGAGCAAATACCCACATTTTAAAAAAAAAAAAAAACAACAACAAACTGAGTGACTCTCTCATTAGAGCCCACACACACTCATGCCTCTTAGGGTGTGTCTTACTTTCTTCTGGAGCACCCCTTCCAAACCTTGAGCTAGTTAATATTAATATCAATCCTATCTATTTCAAAATATCTTTACTAAACTAACTCTGCTTTTAAAACTGGAGGTAAAATAAACAAGCTTCAGAAAAAAGTCAGCAGAATAAATGTTGTTGGATGGTTAAAGCATTACATAATACAATGTTGTAGTGGTCTGAAATAGGCAAGTGCTGAAATTTTAGCCAGAAGTAATCTGTTTAGGGATTTTTTTAAAGCCTAAATACAGATAAAGTGTTTCCTAACAAAGATCAAATAGCTGGGAAAGACATTGAACACAGCTCTGAAAACAATTGTCTACTCTTGGCCCACATACAGAACAGGTTGTTCAACTCTGGCATAAACTAGGACTGGAGACAACAGGAATGATCCAGATCAGACAGAAGCAGGAGTGTGTCACTGTTCTAGACCTCAGCAATGTGGGAGAAAAAACCTGTGCAATGCAATAGGAACAAAGACCAGTGGGTATCAATGGCCATGAGGCCGGCCCTAGAGATAGGGTTTACTTTTCATGCTGAGTCGGCCTTCGAGTTATATCAACAAAGTGTAAGTGGGGTAAAGCTTTGTGAGCACGTCTGAAGAATTGAGAGTGCACATTAATCTAAGTGCATCTCAAATCTCCAACCGTCCCTAAGTTGTAATTAATACATTTATCTGAGTAGTGTCATAAACTTAGAGTACGTAAGTCCAGGCACAAGTAACAAGTTTTATAACTTGGAGCCAAAGGCCAGTAGGGATTCCTTCAAACTCCTGCTGAGATAGGTAGCTGGCTGCTAGGCCTGGCTACTCAAGTTTGATCCCTGGGGCCCACATGGTAGAAAGAGAGAGCAGACTCCTCAAAGTCATTCTCTGATCTCTAAACACTCATGCCTATTTACAAGCATATACATAAACACACAGTCAATCAATCAATCAATCAGTGTAATTTTAAAAATCTATCTGGATGTTGCCCATCACACTAGACACCAAAGACAGACCGGACACACGCACGAGACTGGATCTCTTACCACAGAGCAGTTGCTACTAGTGTAAAAGAGAAAAGTAGCTGCTCAGGAGGAGAGATCTGAAGCTGACCAGGTCTCCAGTACCAATCAGTGATGCCCTGAACACACAGCATGGTGGCCTCTATACAGTGTCTCACTGTGCAGCCCTGGATAGCCTGGAACTCACTATGTAGACCACACTACCCTTAGACACACAAAGGTCTGCCTGCCTCTGCCTGCAGACTGCTGTTACTAAAGAAAGGTGTGTGGCACCATGCCAGGCTTGCTTCTTTATTTTCACAGACTCACTAAAAAGTCAACTAAATGCTTACAGAATAAGGGTAGTCTATGCTTCTCAGAAGAAGAAAAACAAACCCAAACTGATCAGTGTTCCTGTAAATATATTATAAACACAGTAGTATATTTTGTACAAACTATAGTGTAAATGCAACTTTATTAGAGGTGTCCTCTTGACAGTGCAAAAACAACCCTCAAACTTGACTTTTTACACATTCAAGAAGCCTATCACTCCACACACACCTCACTACCATTACACACACACACACACACACACCTACACACACACACACTCAGCAGCTGCTTGCTTGAACTCCAAATGTCAGTTTCTTCACAAACGCTTAAAGTACAAAAGACAGTCGTGCTAACATGGGGTCACAACAGCCCTGAAGGGAAAGGAGAAAAGCCCTCCCTCGGAGCACTGACTCTTAGACCACTGCTGCTTGTTGATCACCGTTCCCTCCTCTCTCTGTAAGCTCTCTTCCCCTCACAGAACGCACAGGTGGAGCTAGCTGAGTCTAATACTGTAGAATGTGAACAGACTTCATTATTACTTACAAAATGAATTCTTTCTCAAGTAGCTTTATGAATTATGGGAACTGAAATTACAGACAAGAAATTCTGGACTAAAGACACAGGTGTGAACAAGCATGGTGGCAAATCCCACCTCTAAATGACAGCAGCATTCCAGAGGCTGTGGAAGTGTGTGTGTGTGTGTGTGTGTGTGTGTGTGTGTGGTGTCACAAGTTCAAGGCCACTCTCAGCCATACGGCAGATTGGAAGTAGACCTAGGAGATCCCACCTCAAAACCCCACAAAACAACCCCCCTACCAGGCAAGGTGGTATGTTTCCATAATCCTAGCACTATGAAGGCTGAGGAGGGAACCAGGGAGCTGGAGGCTAGCCTGGGCTACATAGTGAGAGACATGTGGAAGGCACAGCTCTAGTTCACTTTGAAAACCATAGCAAGCTAAGCAGACCAGTCATGGTCACTCATCTTGTTTGGCTTTTATAATCCTTCATCTACAAAACAAAAGGACTGAAACTGCAGCTACCCAGGTACCTATCAACTTCTACACTCTTTCTTCCTTTCTCTAAATAAACAGAAAGAATACTAAAACTCTAAATAAATGCCAGGCATGGTGGCCACACCTTTAGCTCGCATGTGGATCTCTGTGAGTTCAGGTCAGCCTGGCATACACAGTGAGTTCCGGGCCAGGCAAGGCTATGTCAGTGAGACCCTGCCTTAGCTGAGAAATAAAAGACGGGAAAAAATCCAAATACAAAAAGGAAAGCCAGTAATAAGGAACAAGGTCCAGCTCCTGCTCCCGACCTAGCAGTTGAGTTGAAGGTCTCTGCAGGCAGGCTGCACAAGCACAGGGGAACAGGCGAGGTAGCCTGTCCCTGCAGAAGTTCCAGAGATGACCAGGCACAGTGGAAAAGTACTAGCCTGGAGTCCGGTGTTAGCTGAACTAAAAGGCTGGTCTTAAGTAACTATCAACCTGTTCTTCTCAGGTGTAAAATGACAAGATTACAGCTCTCTCTAACCCTCCCTAAAACCACAGCTCTTGTTTCCAAGTGGTTAGTGTCAGCCTACCCTTTTATAAGGCATTGCTTCCAAAAACATCTTCGTCTGTTTATAGACTTCTTGGCCTGTCTTGTGGAAGGTCTTGAGAAAGTCTATGAACTCCTTAGTCACTCGGTCCGTCTCAATGCTGGTCTGCCGGTTTATGGAGGGACTGGGAGCTTTGGCTTCCTGAATTTCTGCTGGGAAAATTAAACACAGTAAGTTTTGTTACCCAAAAGACTGATGTATGGAATTACTCTATGCAGCTAACAAGATTACTGAAATTATGTTTCATCAAAATTAAATCTGTATCACTTTATATTTAAACATTTGGATGAGCTTCCTTAAAGTAAGGAAGAGTAGGAAGTGTAAGCAGATAAAAGTGCACGATCTAGAACATCCTCAGCAGAACTGAACTGCGGTTCAGCTGGCAGAGTGCTGGCTGGCATGTAGGAATCCCTGGGTTCCAGCCCCAGCAATGAGTAAACAACTAGAATCCCAGCACTTGGGAAGTAGAAGCAGGAAGATTCAGGTCAGTTAAAGGTCATTCTCAGTTGCCTAGTGAGTTTGAGGTCAGCCTGGGCTACAGGCTGTCTCAAAGACCTTATCTACAGGATGACTAGTGGATCAACAGGTTAAAAAAAAAAAAAAAAGAGCTTGTTGTACAAGCCTGGCAACCTGAATTCAATCCCTGAGACCCACTGGGTGGAAACACAGAATAGAGTTCTGTATTGTTCTCTGCTCAACAACTGAACTACAGTATAACTATTCTTAAAAACACAAATACAGGGCAGGGTATGGTGGTGGCAAACTTTAGTCCTGGCAGAGGCAGGAGGATCTCTCAAAGTGAGTTCCAGACTAGCCAGGGCTACAAAGTGAGATCCAGAAAAGACATTAACAAATAGAAAAATAAAATCAAGTACTAACAAAGACTCTCACATCTGTGCTAGCAACCTAACAGCTGCGTTAGGCAGTCAATGATGTAAGAAGGCAGGATAATTCGTTATAAAGAAGCACATGAAGGGGCCTGGTACTCCCTGAAGTCACAGTTCCTCAGAGATGACTGAGTGCTATGGGAAAGTACTAGTGCCACCCCCTCAAATTAAAAAAAAAAAAAAAATGTAAAAAATAAAACCCAACTAATCGTGGGCTCACAGGGGAAAATGCCTGCCACACAGGCCCAGAGATGTGAATTTTATCTGTAGAACCCATATAAAAGTAGAAGGAAAATTTCACAAAGTTGTAATGTTATTTCCACAGACACACAGCCAACTAACAATTTTTCTTTTATTTTCTCTAAACTAACAGAAAGCAAATAAGATACTCAAGAGAAGTTGCTCGTTAGCATTTAGTCACTAATACTGAGAGTGAAACAGAGCCCTTTCTTGAACAACTTTCTTGCAGATCACCTGAGTCAAAAAGTCACCCATGGAAATAACCACCAATGAAAGCACGAAGGCATCAGGTGACACACAGCACTAGAAAACTTCCAAATCACATTTCCCTGCCAAGAAGACAAAAGGCCAGTTTATTCACCCACCATTCAGTTTGCAAGTCACACTACTCGAAGTAAAAATGCATCCAAGCTGGGTGTGCTGGCACATGCCTGTAATTCTAGCACTGAAGGTTGAGGCAGGAGGATCAAGTTCTAGGTCAGCCCGGATTACACAGTGCATCTGACACCAGCTTGAACTATATATAGCAAGAGTCTGTCAACACACACACACACACACACACACACACACACACACACACACACGGAGAGAGATGGTGGGAGATAGAGAGATTTTATCTGGTTTTTCCCGCCTCAGCTTCCTCAGCAAGTGTGCACCATCACACCCCACAAGAAAAAGAAACCAAAAGGTATTAAAATCTACCAACTTCACACTTTCTTTTTGTCTGTTTTTGAGACAGAGCTTCACTATGTACAATACAGGATGGTCTCGAACTCACAGAGATCTGCCTGCTTCTACCTCCTAAACTCTGGGAGTAAAGGCATGGCCCACCATGTCTAGCCCCATACTATTTAGGAAAAAAATTCTTAGCCGGGCAGTGGTGGCGCATGCCTTTAATCCCAGCACTTGGGAGGCAGAGGCAGGCGGATTTCTGAGTTCGAGGCCAGCCTGGTCTACAGAGTGAGTTCCAGGACAGCCCGGGCTATACAGAGAAACCCTGTCTCGAAAAACCAAAGAAAGAAAGAAAAAAAAAAGGAAAGAAAAAAGAAAAAAAATTTCTTGATTTCTACACATAGGAATACATCCCACTCCTCACACTAGACAGACAGACAGACAGATTATGGAACTACATATGTAATTTATGTATATGGGTGCTTTGTCTGCATGTGTATCTGCACAACAAACAAAGAGGACATCATTATAGGCCATTGGGAGCTGCCACTCGAGTGCTGAGCCATCGCTCCATAATCTTGACAGGAAGAGGAGCACTCCATGCATGACAAATATACAAATTAAAGCACAAGAAGATGCCATTCAAAGTTAACTTCGTATTTTAGGTAATAATCAACAAAAACATAAAAAGTTGTCTTGAGCATGGTATCTGTTCACAACAACAGAAACTCTAACTAAGACAAAATCTGACATTTGATCTTGACGAGAACACAACTTCTTACAACACTGCAGGCGGGAGACACATGTAGAGCTTTAACAGGGGGCAATTCAGTAATAATCGACAAAGTTAGAACCCACATGTCCAGCTGGGCAGAGAAGCTGCAGAGCAATCCCAATGCTCAGGAGGCTGAGGCAAGAGGAACGTGGATTCTAGGCCACCCTGGGCTATAAATAAAGTAAGACCCCATGTCACAACATGTAAAATGTGGGACACTAAGGGTAGGAAAAAGATACCGTCAAATAACCTAAAGCACTTACTCTCATACAATGAAAAGTTAACCCTCCAAAGCACAGCAATCCTAAACACGGATCTAACAACACAGCTTCAAAATGCAAAAGCAAAGACAGAAATGTAAGGAACAAGAAACAGATTCAATAATTTTCTCTGAGTGACTGTCAAAGCAGGAGGTCAGAGAAAAGAGGAAGAACACAACACGTGGGCAGCTCAGCAAGTAAAGGAACTTGGGGCCAAGACTAACAACATGAGTTCGATTCCCAGAGCCCTCACAGGAAAGGAGAGAAATGACTCGCATGCATGGTCCTGTAGAGGTGGTTCGGATGCTAAGGTCCTGTTCCCTAACTGGTTCTTGATCTGTCAGTAAAGAAAGCCATGGGTCAATTGCTAGGCGGAAGGTACAGGCGGGACTTCTGTGTCTCTGGAGGAAAGGAGGACACAAGGAAGAGGAGTTTTCTGCCATGCTTTGGAGGAGAAGAACCCAGCAGCCATGTGAGGTCTCGGGAGGAGCTGGCCTGTGGCCACTACTACAGACAGTGGTCAGGGATGGAACTGGCACTGAAGTTGAGGGCAGGTGGGAGACATGGAACTAAGAGCAGTGATAAGAGCATGCTTTTCCCGGCGGGAGATAGTAGTACCCAGCAATTGTGCCAAGAAGGCAAGTTGAAAAACTACAGGCAACACTGTGGATTTTTACCTCACATGCCCAGCATGTCCTCCTCACACATATACATTTACTCTCACACAGTCTCTCTTTCTCTGTGTATGTAATAAAATACTTTTTAAAAAATCACAATATTTGAGCAATATCAATCAGTATGACCAAACTGCAATGTACAGACTGCTCAACAACAGAAGCAGAACATACATTCCAAGCGACAAAAATGACAAATGAGGCAGCTGAGACTTGACGATGTTTAAAGACCTCAATGATCTTCAGTCGCCTAAGGTTAAGGGCAGAACTGAGCTCAAGTCAGCGTGTTTTGACTCCTGAGCCTTCCTTATGGCAGAGCACCAAGCAGATCCTCCAAAGAATGCTAAGCCCTTAGACTGGGGTGGAGACTGAAAGCTTCAGGGCCAAAGGCAGAGAAAATCCAGTCACCTCCTTCACGGTTTTGCTTACATACATCCACAAATAAAGGGAAAAGTCCTCAGCTGAGCATACTGGTTCATACCTATAGCTCAAGGCTAAAGCAGGAGGACTGTTAGGAGTTCAAGGATATCTTGTCTAAAAAATGTAGTCGACCTCAAATCCCCCTTTAAAATGTAAGCAATGGCTGGAGTAAAGCTCAGTGCTAGAAGACAGGGTTGGTTCTATCAGTGCTTGCCAGACCACAAAACCAACCAACCAACCAAGAAGGAAACGAAGGAGAACAACCTACCCACATTACACCGGTAATGTTTGCCAGGGCTTGCACATCAGCTTACACTCCTCTCGTGTTTCTCAAACAAAATCAACTTACAGCTCAAGTCCATCCAGTCAAACAGGGTTCTCAAGCTGTCCATCACCCAGTTCAAAGGTTTAACGAGTTCTGCAGCCCAGCAAGCTTGAACCACAGGACTATCATTCAAGGAGCACAGGCTCTGTGTGCATTCAATCGCTCATTAACTTAACAGTTCCAAGAGCTGGGTGGTATTACCACCTTACATACCAATCTTAGAAAACTTGTCACTTACCTGTCCAAAGCCACACGCTGGTAAAACAAAGAGCTGGGATTTGAAAACAGATTTGAATCTTGAGCCGAGGTCAGTTCTTTCTAACTACCGTGTACCATCCTTATTACCGCAGCATCTCTCTGTCTGTCTAAATCAGCCCAGGAGGGGCTCAAAAGATGGCTAAGAGCACATACTGCTCTTCCAGAAGCACCCATGGTGAATGGTTCACAGCCATCATAATTCCAGCTCTAGTGGACCCACTGCCCTCTTCCGGCCTCTCTGGAGATGGCACCCACATGCACACACTCATACACACAAATAATAGTAATAACAATTAAAAAAGCCAAAGAGGAGGACACAAGACAACAGACTCACTTAAGCCCAGGAGACTGACGTCAACTGGGAATGCAGTGAGATCTGAGATCTAAACTCAGTCAGTTACAAGTCAGTGAGCATCAATCAATCACTTGCTATGTATGTACGTATGGACAGACTAAATATCACATCAGATTTCCTCTGTGATATATGAAGAGAATAAACCTTTCTTAACTGAATGGTAATGAAGAATAAAGACAACATGAGGAGGTGCAGAGTGTCAACTATTTGCAGCATAAGCATGGGGGCCTGAACTGGATTCCTAGCACCCACTAAAAAAGCCAGGTGGGCTGTCATGCGTCTGTAATCCCAGCACTGGGGTGGCAGACACAAGCTCCCCGGCAGTCAGCCTATCCAAATTGGTGAGCCCCAGATCTCACTGAGAGACCCTGTCTCAAATAATAATGTAGAGAATAATCAAATAAGATACCCAGTGTCAACCTAAGGTCTCCACAATCACTCACACACAAATGCATGTATAGGCCCACGCGTACTGCCCCACACACAAATTCTTCACATCCCTTAGAAGACTGTGCTTGGTTTGCAATCAAGCTCCCTGGGTGCAAGGGCTTTCTTCTGTGCTGCTAATATAAATAACAAGGGCAAAGGCTCCACACATTAAGGAAGTAAAATAAAGTCACAGAAAACAAAGCTGACCGCTGCTCTAGATTCCAAGGTGAACCTGCACTGGGTATCAGCGGACTGTACTCACTAAGGCCCTCACAGCAAGCAGGCTGAAGTGGAAAGCTCACCCGGCAAACCTCTGAAAGTCACCTGTAAACTAACAGCCAACAATGCCATCACTCAGAAATGAAGGGTTTTTAAATACTTTGAGCTCCTCACCCTCAGAAGCATTTACATACAAACACAGCTTTAGCTCTAACACTGAAAAGGGAAGAGAAGGCAGGTGTAAGGATGTATGCCTCCGACCCCAGCAGGAAGTGAGGGTAGGGAGAGTCCAAGCTTGAGGTGAGCTACACAGTGAGTTCAAGGCCACCTTGAGGCTCTAAGCCTGACCTTGTCTGGAGAACTGAAGGCGTGAGGACACAGCTGGTGCTAAGAGAGCCCTTGCCTATACTCAGGAAAACCTAGGTTTAGTCCCCGCTAGGCAGGTGGGTAAAAGAACAAACCAAAGGGAGAGGCAGAACTCCCTATTGGCGACAACATGTTCCTAGAGAATGTTGGAAAGGCACTGATTGACAGGCGACTGATGGATAGAGAGCTAGCCCACTGAACATTAATCACCACTTGCTAACATTTGGAGATTTGTACTGGCATTGCTATGAAAGCTACAGAATTCCTAGGTGTTAACAGAATGACCCTCCAATATTCAGAACTGAAAACAAGGCCAAGCATCTTTTTAAATGTTTATATTAACATTTGTTTCGCTGTTTGGTTAGTGTGTAAATGTACAAGTGTGCACTTGTGTTTGGGTGTGCACAGGTTGCAGTGCACCTATGGAGGTCAGAAGACACTTTTGGGGATTTAGTTTCTTCCTTCTATTACTTGGGTTCTGGGGACCATCCAAACTCTAGTCACCACGCTTAGAAGGAAGCGCCTTTACCAACTGGATCACTGTGCTGGTGCAATGCCAAACTTCTGAATTTAAAAAACTGGGGGTTTTCTCATACAATTGTATTTTGATCGTATTCTTTCCCCTACCCCCAAATATCTTGAAGGAAGAACAAGGCGAGTAAATGTGATTCCTGGCCTCAGCTTCACGTGGATTGTCAGTCATACCAAGATATCCCAGACAACAGTTAAGAAGCACTTCACTGGCCAGATATGTTTAAAAGAATTTGTTCCTTTAGACACACACACACACACACACACACACAAAAGGCCTGCATATGCAGAATAGATATATATATTCTGCTGAGCCATCTCTCCAGCCTCCCTAAAAACAGTTTTTAATGAGAAATAAAGCACATAAAGGAGCTAGGAAATGCTCAGTCAATAAAGTGCAAGCCTGAGGCCCTCAGTCCAACTCTCAGAATTCACACAAAAGCTGGACATAGTGGCACAAGCCTATATCCCGAGCTTAGTGGGTCAGAGACAAGAAGATCCTGGGATTCAACAGCCAGACAGTCTAGCTGAATCAGGGAGGTCTAAGAAACCCTGCTTCAAAAAAAAGTTAAAAATTAAAAATTAAAAAAGTAAGGGGAGTGGGGGCTGGAGAGATGGCTCAGGGGTTAAAAGCACTGACTGCTCTCCTAGAGGTCCTGAGTTCAATTCCCAGCAACCACACGGTAGCTCACAACCATCTGTAATGGGATCTGATGCCCTCTTATGGGGTGCCTGAAGACAGCTACAGTGTACTCATATTAATAAAATAATAAATCTTAAAAAAAAGAAAGGTAGAGAACAACTGAAGATAGGAAATGTCAATCTCTGGCTTAACCACACAAAGTAGATGAATGAAGAGCTGGAGAGATGGCTCAGTGTTTAAGATCACTGACTGCTCTTCCAGAGGACCCAAGTTTGATTCCCAGAACCCACATAGCACCTCACAACCCTCTAACTTCAGTTCCAAGGCATCTGACACCCATTTCTGGCCTCTGAGGGCACTAGACACACAGAGATGCACAGACATAGAAGCAAACAAAACACCTGCACAAATAACATTTTTAAATTAGATGAACAAACACAAACCCATCCTCAAGAAAATACTTAATATGAGTTCCTCAAGAGCCCCAAATGAGCCTTTTCCAGTTTGTTTCCTAATAGCATAGGAAATAATCTTTAAGAGAGAAAGTCTCTCAGGTGACTTTCAAGTTTAGGAACAGTCACTTCTCCTAAGTCACTGACAACGTGGGCATTACACAAGGTAAACAAACAAGGAAAAAATAAGGGCGTGAAAATAACAACAACCCACCAAGCAGCCCGTGCTCCGCAGTGTGAATGAGGGGAGCTTCACGAGCAGACCACCCATTCCAGGTCTCCTTAGCTCTCCCACCTGAGAGCAAGAAGCTTCTTTAACAAAACCAAGGAAACCGGGTCTTCAAAGCACAGAGATATTACTGCACGAACTGCCTGGCCATCAAACTTGACTTCCATGTTAAATCTGGACGAGAACTCCCTTGGGCTTACAGAAGTGAAAGGCTGAGCCCACCTGCCTTCTAGATCTAGTCTTCGGCTTGCTCAGGAATGGAAGAAGAAAAGAGAAGATTACCTTTCTTGGATCCAGCCCTGGAAGAGGCGCTGAAGAACTTCTTCACTGTGGTGACCTTTCGGGTTTTCTCATTGGTTTTCTTCTCCTCAAACTTGGAGAAGGTGAGGGACTGGGCACCTTGGCTGCTCTGGCTGCTAGCGAAGGCCTCTTCCTCCTCCCGCTGAAGTCTGAAATTCAGAGGGAAGACTGAACAACCTGGATCCTCTCCAGGTTTTCCTGGGGTCTAAAAGATCTTGTTCAAATTACTGAGAAAGATCTAACCTTATAAACAGAAACTAAATTATACCAAGTGGGTCTCAGGTATATAGCTATAAGATGAAATTCTATACTTGGTGAAGATTTCGATATATAGCTTTAATCCCCAGTACTCCCCCAAACAAAACAACCAAACAAACATGTTTTACACCTATAGTCTCAGGAAGAAATATCACTGGGTTTGAGGGCAACCTGGGTTATAGACTAAGACCCTGTCTAGAAGGAGAGAAGTGACCACTGAAGTTGTCCCCTGCCCTCCATCCAAGGGCAGCAGCATTTACACACTCACACATATCATAAGTCAATGTAGGAGCTGGACAGACGGCTCAGGGGTTAAAGCACTTGCTGCACCTGTAGAGGACCTGGGTTTGGTTCCAAGCATGCACATGGCAGCTCACAACCTCCTGTAACTCCAGTTCTAGAAAATCTGACACCCTCTTCTGGTCTCCTCGGGTACTCAACTTGTGTGGTGCACTTACATACACATAGGCACCATACACATACAAGTAAGTCTTTAAAAGTGTAGAAAGAAATGTAACCTAAAACGTTTAAGGCTTAGGATGCAGCTAAGTTGCCTAGCACTCTCAAAGCCCTGAGCTCAGTCCCCAGCACTGCATACATGGTGACACACCCTGTACTCCTACCACTTGGAAGGTAAAGGCAAGAATATTCAAAGTCCAAGGTCACCCTTGATGACACAGTGGAGTCTGAGGTCATCTTGGGATACAGAGAAAGAGCCTACCTCAAAATATCATTAAAGGGCCAGCAAGGTGGCTCAGTAGGTAAAGAGAGACACTTGCCACCAAGTCTGATGACCTAAATTCAATTCCCAAAACCTATCTGGCAGAAGGTAAAACCTCTGGCCTCCATACATGGAGACAATCCCTCTCACAAAACTAGGTCATTTTTAAGATATAAACATTATGTAATATATGGATGTGTGCATGTTATGGGGCTGGAGAGATGGCTCAGCAGTTAAAGCGCACTTACTGTTTTGCAGAGGACTTGTAAAAGTAACTTTTATTTGCCTGTTGTAATTATTGTCTGGGAGTCTTACTACTAACCTAGGCCTAGTCCTGGAAGCTTCTAGCCTCTGTACAATCTTAGCTAGGCCTAGAATGTTTTCAGCCTCTGAGACTTGCTTTTGAATATGCTCATCTTTTCCTAGTTCTTTCTGAACTCCAGCTGTCTGGTTCAACTCAGCTGTTCAGGCTCAAACTCCTCTCCAGGCTGACTGATTCAAACTGGCTTCTCTCTCACCACCTCTCCTGAACTGCTCTGCTTGGCCTCATATTAACTCTGGCAATCTGTTCTCATCTATTGGCTCCTTCTCATTCTCTGGCTTGTTCTGGCTTCACCTGTGCCTAGCTTGTTCTGGCTTCAACCAAGTGTCCCAGTAATACTGCCTCTCTCCTTCTCCCTCTCAACTCTACTGCACTGTTCTCCACAAACTCTATACCACATCCTATACTGTGCTCTCCTCTTTCTTCCTGTACTCTCTGTCTCTCCCTTAAGTAGCTTCCCTTTCCTCTCTTGTCTCATGAAGAGTTGGGCATATCCTACTCTGTCAAATCTCTCTCTGATTCATCACTTTATCTGCTACTCAAATAGATGTCACTTTCAAACATGGCTGTTTCCTTCTGCAAACTAACTTTCCCTCATTGTTTGGGATTAAAGGTGTGTACTAAGGGTGTGTCTGTATTTCAGACAGAGGGATTAAAGGTGTTTGCTAAGGCTGAGCCACACCTTAACTAGAAAGTTATTTTCAGTAAATAACACAATCTTGGGGTTCACAATGTGATCAAATATCCTGCAACAGGGACTCAAGTTCTCAATTCATACACATACACATACACACAGAACAGGCTGGAGAGACAGTCAGAGAGCAGAGTGTAGTTCCCAAAGCCCATATCAGGAGATCCAAATTCACCTGTAACTCCAGCTCCAGGGAATCTGACTCCCATTTCTAGCCTCTGCAGGTTCCCACATACATGTGACATATACACACACAAATAAATCTTTCAGTGGTGCTGAAGAGACTTCTCAGAAGTTTAGAGCACTTGCTCTACAGAGAATCAAGGTTCAATTTCCAGGATGCCACAAGGTCACTCACAACCCTATTTTCAGGAGATCCAATAAACTTTTCTGACTCCCACAGGCACTAGGCACACATATTACAAACACATACATACACAGATACATACATACATACATACATTCATACATACATACAGATATATGCATACATACAGATATATGCATACATACATATGTAATACAGGCAAAACATTTATATCCATAAAATAGTAAATATTTTTTTAAAAAATCTTTCATAAGCAAAAGAAGAAATGGACTTGCTGGGATGGATGCAGTTCAAGATATGGAGTTCACATCCAGCATGTCTGAGTTCAAGCATCAGCATTGAAAATTAGGGGTGTGTATGAGGGGGTGTAGCTCTTTTCCCTATTTGAGAGCTACACAAAATATCACTACCAGCAAGACAATTCCTAGAGCAGAGTGGAAACCAACTGTTTTTAGAACAGAGGACAGAAAACTCCAGAAGAAAGGTCCGAGAAGGTTCTACAGTGGTGACATTCATGGCAGGTCTATAGGATGACTAGGGTTCTAGATAAGCATGCCCGGGCATGGCAAGCTGTATACCCACCCGGTTATGTCTTGGTGACCACACCCCACCTCCACATAACCTGTGAGGTCCTTTACCGTTCTGCCAGTTCCCAGTCCTCTTGGATCTGCTTCTGCCGGGCCTTGTGGTACTCCTCCCTCCAGCACTTGGAGCAGAAACCCTGCCAGGCAGGGTTGCCGTAGTAACCGCATCCTTTCTTGCACAGGAGCTCAGATTGATCCACATGAATTCCCCTGCGTTCGGACTTCAGGCTCATCTTCTTCCTGATAACCAAGGAATGAGAAAGCATTGAAAATTAATTTACTTCCATACTATTAAAATAAAACACTTATGAAGCAAAATACAAATGAGTCTGAGATTTTCAGACTGTAAGAGGGGAAACACCAGAAGGAGAGAAAAAAGTACAAAAACCAAAGTTAAACTCAGCAAATTCAAGTAGACTCATAGTAAATGACTTCATCTGAGGCCCGAAATACACAGAGCACCTTAAGAGACTAATACTGGATTAAAGACCTAAGCATAAAGCTTTAAACTCCAAGAAGAAAAGCTTCCTGACACTGTCAAGGACTTCTTCAATACACCAAAGCACAGGTAATAGAAGCAACAAAACCAGACAAATGGTACAACAGCAAACTTCTGCACAACAAACAAAGCAATCAACAGAGTAAAGAGGCCTCCTACAGAATGGGAGAAGACATTTCCAACCTCTACAGAAAAGGTAAAGCCCAAAACAGATAAAGAACTCTGACAACCCAACACAAGATAGAATACACAAAAGTGTCCAACAGACAGCAAGACCCTGTCTCAAAAAACACACCAGAAAGGGGGTAGGGCTGAGATGGTTTGGCAGCAAAAGATTGCTGTCACTACAGTTGACAAGCTGAGTTTGAACCCTGGGACCTCACAAGGTAGATGGAAAGGCAACTTCCCAAATGTTGTTCACCGGCCTCCTCATGTGTGCAGTGGCACATAAATACATAAACAAGATTAATAAAATATACTTTTTATAATGGCCAACAAGCTGGGTGTGGCTGTGCATGCCTTCAGTCCTACCACTCAGAAGACAAAAACAGGTGCATCTCTTTGAGTTCTAGGTCACCTAGAAATACTTAGTAAGACCCTGTCTCAAAAAACAAACAAACATGACTAACAAAGACCGGGAATGTTGGCATATGCCTATCATCAATCAGTCTCAGGCAGGAAGACTGCATGTTCTAGGCCTACCTAGCTTATAGAGCGAAACCTTCTCTAGAACTAAATACTTAATAGTCAGAAAACACATGAAAATATTGGAATAAACCAAAACCACAATGAGACATCATTTCACACTGCTGAGAATACACACACACACTCACTCGAAGTGTTGATAGGAACACCTATCCATTATCTATAGCCTTTTTTCCATTCAGAAGGCTGGGAATTGGAAGTGAATAGCCTGGTAATGTGTATTATCTGTAAGATCAGGCCAAACTCAGCTCCCACAACCAAGACCAGAAGTGGCTAACAGCCCAGATGACCTCTACGCTAAATGTGTGCCGGAGACCATGCTAGATCACCCCTAGGTCCTAGCTAATGCAGGTAGCCATCTCTAGAACCTATCTTCTTGGAAGAAATGACAGGTACTTTTAGATAAGTTTCATTATAATTATGCCTCCTTGTGTACCAGGGATTGTATTACACCAGGAAACATTTTTCCAAATTGTCCTATGTTAAAGTATGCAAGGCAATAAACCACCAGGTATCAGACTCCCAAAGTTTGATCCAGCTTGGATGACTAAGTCAGGCTGAACTGAGTTTACATTCGAGGATTGTTTTGCTGCCGGTCATGAAACCTACCATTGTTTCTTATAAGTTATTTCAGGTGTCTTGTTACAATGACGGAAGATTATAGCACAATGAAGGCAATATCCAAAACAACTGTAAAGACTGATTAAAACGGGCCCTGTGGAGACGCCTCAGTAGATACAGTAACTGTTGCACAAGCATAAGGACCCCAGTTCAATCCCTGGCATCACCTAAAAGCTGGGAGTGACAATATATACCTGTAACTTTAGTGCTGGAGCACAGAGACAGGGAGATTCACGGAATTTGCTAGCCAGTTGGGCTAGCCAAAATGTGAGCTCAAAGTTCAGTGAGGGACCTTGTCACAAAAAATAAGGTGGACTGGTGCGAGGTCTTTTTCTCTGTACCCACTCATATCTGCTTTTGGCTTCACGTCATGCCTGACATCCTTCTAAGGTTTGTCTTGTGTCTGCATACCTTAATACTCAAAGGGCGAAGAGTGTGCTCAAACCTCTCTGGTCAGTGGGGCATTGGTTCTGAGGGGCAGAACCTGTGTATACAGAGACAATATGAAGTGGCCCAGAAAACATCGGAGGGTCTGAAGTCTCCGTGCATTCTTTGGCACATATATAGATCCACTGGTAGGGTGGGAGTTTTACCTTTTTTTAATGTGTGTATGGTATATGTATGTGTTTATATGAGTGTGTAGATAGGTACACATGTGTGCATGTGTGTGGAAGCCAGAGGTTGAAGTCGATAGATTGCTTTCTTCAATTGCTATCCACCTTATTTTTCAAAAACATATTTGCCAGATGTGCTAGCACACACCTTTACTTCCAGCACTTGGGAGGCAGAGGCCGGCAGGTCTCTAAACTGGAGGCCAGCCTGGTGTACATAGTGAGTTCTGTGCCATTTAGAGCTACATGCTGTGACCCTGAATGGGCTGGGGCAGGCAAGCTGACTCAGCAGGTAAAGGAGCCTGCTGAGAGCCTGACAATCTGAGTTCACTCCCTGGGTCTGAAGTGGTGTAAGGAGAGAACAGACTCCAGCAAGTTGCCTTCTGACCTCTTCATATGATATAAGATATATCCACAAAGATACACATAAAGCAAATAAAATGAAAAAGAAAAGAGAGAAAAGTGCTTTTTCCCAGAACAGTGGGAGTCTGTTTTCCGCACAGTCAAATGAGCACACCAAGTCCCTCCCTGTAACTGTCAACAGACTAATAAGGTCATGAAATCTGTGTTCCTTAATCTCAGGCTCCTTAACTGTGACTCTGCCTGCATGGAACTTGTGAGGCAAATGCACTTGCTGTGACATAGACCCTATTCTGCTGATATCCTGAATAGTGGGTCCCTTTGTTCCTGATACAGGAGACTCAAGTCTTCTGCCTGTATCCATCAACTTTGGCAGGCTCATTTGCTACTTATAAGCAGAGCGAAAGTTCCAGTCCTTCACTGTTCTTAATATTCCCAGCAAGCAGTACACAGGATGCCATTCACACCTTCAGCCATTAAAGCAATACAAGTAGAGGCCATTGGATGGAGCTGGGGGTACAGCTCAGTGACACAGCACTTGCCTAAATTACTCAAGCCCTGGATTGGAGCCCCAGAACTGCCAAAAACAAAAACAAACAAAAACTCCACCAGCTTGAAACATCACCCACACCTATCGGAAACTAAATAGGCACAGACAGTATACTGCCAATGGCATTCCCATACAATCAGAGGGGGGTGTAAATAGTGCAGCTGACTGTTAATAGCTTCTTTTTCATTGTTTTGATTTTCTGAAAGGTTCTAACTCTGAGGTCCATAGAGATATCAAACTCATAGCAATCCTCCTGCCTCAAGCATCCAGTGCAGACATAGGTAGGAGCCACAACCCAACATATTCTTAGAGTTCTTACTCATTGGTTCAACATTCACATACTGACAGTTATGTGGGCCACTACCATAAACAAAAGCTCTGTGGATCTTAATGTTTAACATGTGCAGGATACAGCTAAGACTCTGAAGGAAGAAATACTATTAATATTGAATAACTACTCTGTTTTTGCTTTGTTTTGTTTTTTGAGACAGGGTTTCTCTGTTTATCCTGGGCTGCCCAGAAGCTCTCTCTCTCTCTAGACAACTCATAGATCTGCCTGCTTCTGCCTCCAGAGTGCTGGGATTAAAGGCCTGCATTACTACCACCCTACTTACACCAACAACCCATGTGTAAGAATCAAGCCCTGTATGTGCCCATGAAATCTACGGACCTCTAACAACTACTATGATAACAAGATGTGTAAGGAGGTATAAAATATCTCACAGTACTATCAATATGTAAAAACACCCAGGAAATATTTTAATTGGAAAATTTATGTGGCCAATGTAAAAGTATTATTGATATAAAAGCAATGGTCACAGATATATCTATACTCCTAGAACTTGGAAAGCTGGGGCAGGAAGCTCACAACCACCTGTAACCCCAGTTCCAGGGGGCTCCGATGCTCTCTGCTCCACTCCATGGGCACCAGCACTCATGTGCACAGACAAACATATATACACATAGTTAATGAACTCAGACGGATACCCTGCCTCTGCTGGGATGAAGGTGTGCACCGCCACAGCCAGCTTTTCTTTTCTTTCTTTCTCTCTTTTTAAATAACAGGACAGTTTAATTCGTCACACTATGTAACCCAAGGTGGCCTGCAGTCCTAACTGGGTCTCCCACATGATGGGATTACAGGTGTCCACACCACACCTGGTACAACTTAAACACTTTCAAGAAGACAGAAGGATGACAGAGCTCACATTAGATATTTACGAAACTTCTATACCTAGAAGCTAGAGGAAAATCAAGAAGGAAGTGTAATTTGAATACACAAATGTAAACGTCCATCTAGTTTTAAAACGGCCTCACCTGTGACCAAAATAGGCAGGCAAAAAGAAGAGCGGAAAATAACATTTACATGTGACAATGAGGTATTTCAGTATACAGAGTGATAATATTAACAAAAGCCTAAGGATGGCTGGCAGCTGTGCAGGACAAGGACATGGGCGGGTTTTTTGCAAACTGGAGCAGCCTCCTGGAAACACAAGGGGAAAGTCCTGGCACATGCGCTTGACATTTTGAAAAGGCTGTGCGTGCCTGTGTGCCTGCCTGCCATCCCACTCATGGGATAAGAGAACCGACTTCCCACAGCCTCAGAAGCAGTGTTAGTTTTTGTCAATAGCTAGCCAATGTTACTGTTATTTGTCTTTAAAGATTTTATCTATGTGATATGTGTGTGGGCTGGGGGTGTCCTGTGCAAATGTGTGTGGGTAGGGCCCCAGGAGCTGGAGCTACAGGTAGTTGTGTGCCCCCAACACGGGTGCTAAAGGTTCTCTGTAACGACAGTATGTGCTCTTAACCACTGAGCACCTGATTAACAATTTTTATTGATATTTGTTACCATGCATACATTTTTTTCAAATAAACTAACCACTGCTATTTTCTGCTCCTGTGTCTTTATTTCTAAATTTT